TAATTGATATGAATAGAGTACAAAGAAAGTTGTTTGTTTTGCATTAGATAACTTGACATATGTTTGATAGATGACCAAAAATCATTCTTTGCAAGAATATTCAGATTCTTAATAATATTAATGAAAGTATAACACAGATATTAATTAATGTGTATTGAAACTAGGTTCCAATAATATTTGTTTGGCGTTTGTCGAGTTTGGCGTGTAAATATTTAAGTCATTCAAAAATAACACTAAAACAATTACTTCTTGATTTTTACACCATAGGTATTGATCGTGTAAATAGCTTGGAGTATCTGTCTTTGTACAACTCAAGTCAAATCAAAATATCAAGTGGTTGTAAAATATCATTAAATGGTATCTCATTGTTCCTCTCATTGTTTTACTACCCATTTGCAGAACTCAGTTTCATCTGGACTCTTTAAATTAGAATTAATTCTGTCATCTAGCCCAGGCCCGTAGCCAGGATTTGCCAAGGGGGGTTCATATTTCAAAAAATTCCAGGGGGGGTTCACAAAAGTGCTCAAAATGGTGAAAACTGCATGATTTTGAAAGAATTTTGGCCAGGGGGGGGGGGGGTTCGCCCGAACCCTGCGAACCCCCCCCCCCCTGGCTACGGGCCTGTAGCCTATATCCATCAGAATATATGTTCAGAAAGTCATGACATTGCATTTTTTGCCTGTATAATTAGGTAAGGTTACAGTTTTGCTTGATGATAGAGATTCTGAAATGTGACTCTATTAAATGGTTCATTACTCAAAAAATTAGAGAAGCGTAACTATTATATAACTACAGTTATTCTGAAATATTTGTAAAATTCATAGAAAATACTTAGAGGTTATGTCACTATGACGTGAAATATGCCTGAGTTCTCCCAATATAGGCCGACCTTGGGAGGCTCTATATTTGGGCAAGAACGAAGGCATATTTCACGTCATAGTGACATAACTGATGTATTACATGCCTTTGTTCCCATGGTTACTTTGTATCAATGACGTGACGTCATGATATTATCATGGTTATTAAAGAAATCTAATATCAAAACGAGGTAAGCGGGCTATATCGGGGTAATCGGGCAATATCGGTGGATATAGCTCGCTAACTTTCCCATTGACTTCCATACAAATGCTTCGCTAGGTATGTAATACAGTACAATATAGTTGAATTAAAATGTGTCTCTGAAAGTAACCTTTGATAGAATACTAATTCCTTAATCGGAAGACATTAACAGAAAATAGATGTTATCAAGAATAACACTTTTTCAAGTGTTCAATTCAATTTAAGATAAAAGAACTACTAGTACGTGTCAAATAGATTATCTTTGGATCTATATTTTACACAATGTAGGCGTTTAATGGCAGTTTCCTAATGACGACATCGAGCCTAAAAGATTCATCACATAATAATGATATCAACAGAGATTTTGTGTTAAAAATAGTCCAATAGTGCTCTCTTGTGTATTGAAGCAATTCAACTGGTTGCTTCTCTTACGAGAGAATTTCAAATTACTTCAAATTTAATCGAAATGTTTGTGCTTTCTCAACTGAGATTTTAGAATATACATGTATGTTAAAACAATTTTAGGCAATTTTAATTGGAATTTCACCTTTTGTTCAGAAAAGATATGATGTTTGAGATGAGAAAAAATGCTTATTATATTTTCATTTCAAATATTATTAATTTCAATTCAATCATTATCAAAAAAAAGCTTTTTCAGTGAAGTCACAGAATTGATATGTAATATATTTGAAATTACTAAACTTGCCTTGAACTGTCTTGTTTCAAACAAATTTAAGGTCATTTGTGCTACTAACATGATTTTCAAAACATACTGTCTCATAATTCAATGGAAGTATCTCACTGTTAAACTCCTTTTGATTATAGGGTGTAGGGACTTTGCAATCTCATCCAAACTAATCAATACTGCCTGGTGAGATTTTAACAGTTTGGGACGGTTAATAATGTAAGAAGGGGGAAGTGTTGCATGTCTCCACATTCTTGTCTAATTGGTACAAAGATCAATGTATGTTATATATTAATAGGAAATTTGTTGATTTAATTGAGATTTATTTGACATTTTTGCCTATCAATTTGCTTACCCGGCAAGATTCTGATTAATTCTCTCGCTATTTTCGTAGTTTTTGCCAAAGGTTAATGAATCAAATTGGATTAAGTGGTGATTTATCAAATGGATATCATGTGCTAATTATGGGCCCTGAATATTATGTGAAGGTGTCTGGTATATAATGGTGTCATTGATCAACTTATATATGAGCTTGGAATTAGACAGAAAAAGGGGCCACAAAGTAAAGATATGTAGTTGATTAAGCAGTCCATTATAAATTGACAAGAAATTCACCAGTGACCTTATCACCTCATTTTTGAAAAATAAAAATATTTGGGTAACATTCCAAAAAATTAATTTACACGAATACAAGGATGTTAAAGGATTCATAAATAAATATTCTGAGTTGCTCTTTCAGAAAATGAATTCTCTGATGCTAGTCTGTTTTGTATATTTCCCTTCAAGTCCTAATGCCCTAATGGTATTATTACACCATATGTAACATAAAGTTCAATAATCTAATATAATACAGGGACTTTACCACTATTGTTCAATTAATTATATCATCTTGACAATTTCATTGGATTTAGCATGTAAGTTTAGAACACTTCATTACCAGGGTTCAAACCTACCTGTCATGTCTCAGATTTGTTTCCTGAAATTCTGAATGAAACAGCTGCCATTGATATAAGAAATTACAGTGCTGAAATAAAATATAAATATGTTATGAACTGGTTCTACTTATTTCTACTATTGTTCATTTTTTGAATCGTCATCTCTGATCCAACATGACATTTCTTCATGGGTAATGCTTCTCTTGGTCAATGTTATAATTGCATAAGACAATGTCTGTAGAGTCAGACAGTGGTAAATGATGAATTTAATCATAAGTTGATTATCAGTGGATTTGTAAGGCTGACATGATCATATAATTAAATCTACTGTACATTTTGAAGCAAGGGCCAAGGTCAGTTAGTCTGGCTCCAAACCCCTGTCCCCCCACAACTTGGCTGCATTCCTTCTCACACAGATCGTGAGGTTTGAAGTGGGGGGTCACAAGCACGGGGTACCATCGAATAATTTTGGCAACGTACCAGAGAACGACATTTTACTAAGAAATGGCAATAATTTAGCACAATATATTTTTTAACTAGAGTTCTATTTTGATTTTGACAAAAGTAAGTATTCCATGCAATAACTATTTCATTCATGAGTTTGTAGGAATTCTGTTGGAACCCAGTTCTGATCAAGTACGAAGTTATTGAAATCGGCGCAGACAGACTTTACTCCGAAAGATGGTTTTTCGATTATAACTTTTCACAACATTTAAGTATAGACTTTTGAAAAAAGTACAGAATAGTCCTTATACTTTTGAATAATTCTGTTATTTCTGATTCACACGACTCTGATTTGTTTAATTAAAAAAAAGTTTTAAAAATATTACTTAGGAACGTAACCGGAGCTGGGAACGTAACCGGAGCAGATCAGTTGAATTATTTAATCAAAAAAATTAAAATATATGATTTAAAGCACATATACTAATTTAAAAACATACGGGAGTGTTCGAATGCGTATTTATTAATACGTATGCTTTAAATCATATATTTTATTTTTTTAAATTATATAATTCAACTGATCTGCTCCGGTTACGTTCCCAGCTCCGGTTACGTTCCTAAGTAATATTTTTAAAACTTTTTTTTAATTAAACAAATCAGAGTCGTGTGAATCAGAAATAACATAATTATTCAAAAGTATAAGGACTATTCTGTACTTTTTTCAAAAGTCTATACTTAAATGTTGTGAAAAGTTATAATCGAAAAACCATCTTTCGGAGTAAAGTCCGACTGCGCCGATTTCAATAACTTCGTACTTGATCAGAACTGGGTTCCAACAGAATTCCTACAAACTCATGAATGAAATAGCCATTGCATGGAATACTTACTTTTGTCAAAATCAAAGTAGAACTCTAGTTAAAAAATATATTGTGCTAAATTATTGCCATTTCTTAGTAAAATGTCGTTCTCCGGTACGTTGCCAAAATTATTCGATGGTACCCCGTGACAAGGGCTTGTAGACAGATGAGACATTTTTGACCACATCAAAATATTGACCTGGTTCCTAGCACCATAAAAGACGATGCTATGAGGTTAAATAGGTATAAGATATGTTTTCAGGATAATGTTACCAGCCATGTTTGCAATGTATTTCTATTATTCATTTCTCAAGCGTTTCTGATAACTTTAATATCTGATGTTTGAAAATCTGTAGAATGAACCTTGTATAAATTATTCTATTATCTTAAAATAATCATGGTTATTCTTTTACTCAATCTTTGTATTAATACATGAGCCTTTGATTTTTAATAGTAATCTAATCCTTCTCAGTGATCTATCTATCTATCATTGATGTAACAAGGCAATTCACCAAGCTGAAAATTACCGTTGATATTTTATGACAATTACATTGAAAATCTGTTAGCACCCAATTGAGAGTTTATAGAATCATGAAAATTAAAATTTTTGATCAGTTCGTTACATTTGAGGCAAAATTTTGTTCTTAGTATAAAAATGATCCTTGAGGAAACCCTACTTTATTGGCCATTCTGAGGATATGGCCTTAATAAGTGTCACAAGCCTCTCCTTTTGATTCCCAAATGTTTGGAGACTAAGACACTCAAGGTCCTCCTCTATATCAATTACCAGTCCCATGTTGCATTGTGGGATGCTTGAACCTGTTGTGTTTTATCTGAAATATGAAAAAGGAAAATTGACTCTCATTGTGATAAATGAAAATACAATATAATCTAACAGTTTTTATATTCATTTTGATTATGAACAAAATTAAAAGCTTAGCTCCATCTTGGGTACTTCTGGGTGCTTGACCATAATTGGTTGACCCTTGTTGCTTGACCCCCCCATTGCTTTATGCATTCTAGGCCAAGCAGGGAGAAATGTAGCAGAAGATATCAAACGTGCAATTACAAACAATAATGCTGTCAAGTCGTTCCATTCAGATGATGGGGAATCTAGTGATGCTAGCATTCACCGTGTTGGTGCTCCTAAGGACTCTGATATGAGACGTCTGACTGACTTAATACGTCTGCGAGGAAGTAGTCCTGAGGAGGATGGTGGCCATGTTGAGGTCAGAAAAGCACGATCGCGCCATTATGATAGCGATAGTGACTCTAGCTCATCAGGAGATAGTAGATCGGCATCACCTGTACGCTCACTTACTGATAAACCCAAAGTCAGACCCACATCTGAACCCCTCGTTGCTGCTGCTGTTGTTGCTAATGGTGCCCACCATCTTGGAGAAAGTTCATCTTCCCAGGATGACAATGTTGCTCTGGACCAAGGTAAGCTAGCCTTGGCGCTTACAGCTGACCCAAACACTGCTTTGCAAAATGATTTTATGGCAGCCCAAACTGAGCAACAGTCTTCTCTTAGTGCCCACCCCCATTCTAAATCAGGAACTCTTAGTTTGACTAATGATGATGAATCTTTGTATACTGTTGAGGAAATATCCAAGGTCACGTTTGAGAGAGTATCTATGAAAAAAAGGAAAGAAAAACAAAACTCATTGGAACTTTCAGATGAAGGTGAGCCTGGGATTGGAATTGGATTTAATCTAACACGTAATATTTTCATTTTCAAGTTCCTTTGACACTCTCTTTCTTGTTTTACTTCATTAACAACCAATAAATATCTTTTGATGCACATAATTAGGCCTTCCAGGTCTTCGGTTTATCTTCTGCGCTTTCAACATTCTGTAATTTTTATGAATTTATCAATTGATTTTCTCTCATCAATGCACCTCTTCAGGCAATAAATAATTGTTTTCCCTCGGACGGATTATTTGACAAGCACCAGTATAAACCTTTACAAATGCACAATTATTTTTGTGGTCACGCATCAAATCAATTTTTGCGCTGGGGTTGTGAAGGTGGAAATATTCTGAAGTTTAAATTAAAATCAAGAAAAGAGAATCTTTTAAACATAAAAGAGACAATTAGATCATTTGCATCAAGTAATCTTACTGTGAGATCATGAATTTGAAACACTCGCGACATTCAGATTAAGATCAGCTAAGTATCTCGCTACCTGAAAAAGACAAATTGACCATTTGCATTTTATACTCTTAAAGGTAAAACACTAATGGGCACATTCATCATTCTAACCTTAAAAATAATTATTATTAATTTATATATGACACCTGATCCCTGATCTTAATCATTCCTGTAACTTCTTTAAATGATTAATTGGCTCCTACGTGGCTGGGTTACAAGTGACATCTTTACCTGAAAACTGTTGTTTGGTTGCAGCCTTTGTTTGATAAGGTGTTGGGTCTGTAATTGTTGATTGTGTTTGTAATTGATTGTGGTTAGAGTTGATTGAACATTGTCTCAACTTAAACATTGTTTCAGGTATACAGCATACATAGTAGATTTGCTTGTTTGATTATGCACTTGTGTGATGACTTTGCTTTGATTGACACCTATGGATATTACTTGTTTATTATTAGACCACAATTTCAATTATAATTCTTTTATTCCTTAACTGATTGTCTGATCTTTTACATACTTATAACCCATAATGTGTTATTCTATATTCTAAGTTTCTGTTCTTTATATAACAATTCTTTATTATTACATTGTTTGGCCTTATCCAAATGTCAACTAAATAATCAAAAATCAAATACTTTGATTTCTATTGTTTTAATTTTTCTATAATTTTAGTAGCCTTTCTTTTATTCCCTTTCTAAATACATTGCATTTTTGACATGTGGACATGGCCTCCAATACATTTAAATGTCTAAATTAAATGTCTTAATATTATCTTATTTTCAGCCATACTTAGGATTAGGAGAGGCCGTGTCTGTATACAGCTGATTATTAGCTATAATTCTATAGTATTTTTATTGTGATAACTGTATGCAATGTATAAATGATATTAAAGATACAATAACACCTGAGTAAGTTGAACACTTAGCTTTTAACTCAGGATTAGCTTGAAAATTCTAAATTTGGCATCAAAATATGGCATTTCTTGTGATTATATATGCTGGTGAGATGTTAATGAAAAATAACAAAAGGTTTGTTTCTGTTTCGTCTTGCATTGCACCCCTGGTTACTCCTCTATTATCAATTTTTGTACCCAGAAGTTGAGGTTGTGTTTAGTCGAGTATGGGTATAGGGGGATTTACAAGGGCTTGTTTCAAGACTATACAAAACTTTCTAATTCTAAAGTGTGTTCGACTTGCTCAGGTATTACAATCTCGAATAATTTTATCCCCTTACCATGGTGACTTGTTTTCATATTTCAGAAATTCAAATCAATATTTCTGTATCAGATGATTGCAAATCCTTGTATTATGTTTTATTTTATCGAGATTCCTTCTTGATTTCAAATACCCTGAGTATAGAGTCTAGTTACAAACTAGGAGATGAAGCTCTCTTTTAAGAAGTGACCTTAAAAAATATTAAGGGTATACTTCAAAAATTGTCTGGGTTTACTGATCATTTTCAAAATCTGCGAGCACTTTTAGTTACATTCTTAATCTTAATATCTTAATATTGCTTTGTGCTTCCTAAATTTTTTGTTAAGTAATACAACAACAATGCATTTATACATTCCTATCATGTATTGTATGTTTTCTCATGGTAAGGGGATCATAAATGGGTAAGCTATGACTTATTCAGATTGGAGGGGATACTTTTGATATACACATTTCAAAATGTAAAAAGTAATTGATTGATTGTTTCAAAAAATGTTTCACACACAAACAAGTTAAAATGGTCCGACATGAGTATACTTTGTATAAAACTTATAAAAATAAAATTTCAGATGCATAAATTGCCTCTCTATATTTGACCGAAGAATGAACTCTATTGAGCCATATATCACTTCCTGTTACGCTAACTTTTCAACTATTAATTTATTGTATTTTAAGTTCTTTGATCAACTCACTTATCAATGGAACCAAAATGCCAGCTCATATGCAAATGGCAGTGTAAATCAGGAGCTTAAAATGTATATCATTGGGAATTATTACAGTTGCTCCATGGAATCAAACCCATATCCATTCCTCAATTTTAACTGATTTTGATCCCTCTATTTGAGAAAATAATATTATGAGCCTGTTTGATTGTACTGCAAATTCCACTTCCTTGTGTGTTATCAATAACTTCTGCTAATACCCGAGCTAAAAGCAGAAAAACAGAATTTCTGATCACATTCCCTGAATAATTTTAAAATACAGCATTTCTGATCTATTAGAATTAATTGAAATATTCTCCTGACATACGAGCGTAATTTATCTCGATGCATTACTATCTTGCTTAATGATTGTATCCCTTAGCATTTTAGTATTGATTACTATTTAATTTTATAACTGTATTATATGACCCATGTAAAAATACAATTTCCTTAATTTTCACCAAATTGAAATTTATTCCCATTTATATATTCTTCATAGCGCTTTCCACACAATACAATTATACTTGATTACGTCGCTATTCTTGTGTTAAATCCCACAATTTGATGCATGAGGCTCCTTGAGTTTTGCAGTACCTTTTAAGATACAATACAGCACTGTTGCCCTGTTATGTCTTTATGCTTATAATTCTTTCTATATTGAAGACTTGAAACCTTTATCAAATGATATGGGGGTCAAAATAGTTCTGAACGTTGCTAAGATGTTTTTTTTCCTTTGGGAGACCAACATAATTGTAAGAGGGTTTTCAAAATAAGCAATAAATTTGGTTGGAAGCATTGATGCCTACAATCTATGGCATCATGAATCTTGCTAGTATGCCATGGGGTTTAAGTATAAGAAAAGATAGCCTGGTTTATTTGAAAGGTTTGAAATTTGAAGTATTTGTCATATATAATGTACCCCTCCAAGTCTATTGCTGAATCTCAGGTGGCTTAAGATCAGCCTAGTATGATACTTTTCAGACTTTTATGAAACCCTACATGTAAAAACGTTCAAGTTAATATGCCAGATTACTTGTTGTGTTTGTGCTACATAAGTTGACATGAATGTCCCCTCCATTCTGAAAAAATCTTGCTTTCTTTGTTTATTGTGAAATGACCTGACTTTTCATACATAATGCCTTCCTATTCTCTCTCACCAGGTGCCCAGAACGAGCCACACCTTGATACAGTCCCCGGAGATGTGATCTTTTGTCGACCTGGAGAATCCATCACAGAGAGCAGGGCCTCCAATAAGGGTGGGGCGCCTGGTGGGAGAAGGGGGGTCACTTATGATACTAACATTCCTGATTCTTTTAACACTACAGATGATAGACCTGTTAGTTACAATGAACTGTTTGACCTTGGCACTCAAGATCTTGTAGATGAAGCAAATGCCAATGTTAATAAGCCTCCAATACATAGCTCTATAGAGAGTAGTGTCCTAGCTAATCCTGCACATAGTAATGCACATGTTTCAAATGCACCTGACATATTTGAGCCCTCATATAATAGTAGATCATCATCTAGGCTCACAAATAGTGATCTAAATCTTATGGCACCAAAACAATCAACCAAAAGACTAAAGAGTCAACAGCAGTATAAAACATCTCCCCCAAAACCTAGCTCTTTCCAAATTAAAAATCCATTTGATACTGAAACAGAAAATGCCATGCTAGACCATTCTATTGATTATGATATGCCTAATCAACAATCTACCTCTGAAATAAGCCAAACTCAGATCATTGTGGTTGACAAGTCAAGTGTTAGGCACAACCAAGTGCAATATAGTGATAGTATAGATGGTGCCTACATTGAGGCAGATGGTGACAGTCAGGATTATGTAATAATTGATTCGCTAGAGTCCCCAACATTGAAATGCAGCCCTACAGTTGCATCTGATGAGGATGATGAATTCAACAGCTTAGTAGTTGATAACCTTATATCTGCTGGTGCTCAGAAGGACCCAGAATCAGGGGCATTTGTTATATCAGTAGAAAATGATATCAATATGGACAATAATGATAATGATGACATACATAGTGATACAAGTGCTGACATTACTAAGGATCCTAAATTGGATAATTGGGATATGATTTCTGTGAGTAAATCTGATAAAGACTTTAGTAGTGACAGTGATCATTCAATTCAAGAGATTGAGGAGGACCCAACATATTCAGATGTTAATGTTCAAAGACCCAATCCAATACAAGAAGAATCAGAAGATGCTAACCCTGTGGAATCTATGAGCAATTCTGATGATGCAAACTCACATATTAATAAGTCAGACACAGAGTTGGTTGAAGTACAGATCGAAGAAGTAGATTATAAATATAATGACACATATGTTGTAGAGGATAGACCTCATAGTCTAGATAAGTTAGAACCAGCAGATAGTACAATAGAAGACCATGCAACTGATAATAACACTATTGGAATTGAAAAGCAAGAAAATAAAGATAATATGATTCAATCTATGAGCAACCTCGATGATACAAACTCAGATATTAACAAGCCAGACACAGAGTTGATCGACACATATGTTGTAGAGGATAGACCTCATAGTCTCGATAAGTTAGAACCAGCAGACATTGCAACAATAGAAGACCATGCAACTGATAACACCACCATTGGAATTGATAAGACAGAAAATGAAAATAAAATAATTCAGCCTGAATTGGCAGAAGCAATCAACAAAAATCCATTTAGGGTTAATGAATATGCCCCATTGTTAAAATCCAATAGGGTGTTTGAAAGTGAGAATGATGATATTATGGCATCTACAAATAAGGACAATCAGGTCGCCTCTGAACAAAACAAAAATCAGCCACAACAGGAAACTATTAAAGCAAAGCAGACAGAAATCACTTATGGTCACCAGAAGACTGTTATTAAGGCACATGTCACAGCAATGAATGAAAACACATCCCCACATTTAATTAAAGCAAATGTGACAAAGATTACACAAGAGCCATCACTGACTGTAATCAAAGCTCATATCACTGAATCAACCGATGAAGATAACACAGATTTAAAACAGAAATGTGATAATGACATTGAGTTAGACTTGAATGCCAATGTTGCTGTAAGTGGTGATAGATTTAATCAAGTTAACACCAGAAAGGATGCTATGGAATTAGATGTAACACGAGGAAATGTTGATGATACCCCTAGCATTATATTAAATGGCAATGATACACTGGAAGAGGAAGAAGATTCAGATGATGATGACTTCACTACAACTGAATTTAAACTTGAACTCCTTCGAGCTTCCCTCAAACCATTAGAACAACACAAGTTGAGCCCAGAAAGTGATGAGGAAACTACTGAAAAGAAAAGAGTTAACCTGTATGATGACATACAGCGTGCAATACGACATCATTATGTTGACCCAGAACATGATTATGATGCCTCAACATCCCATTTAGAAAAGGTGAAATACAAAACTTCTAGTCCAGAATATAAAAGAGTTGAGTGCAGAGATGATTTCTTAGATGAAGAACCAGCGATTGATTTGGAAAATCCAATTCACTTTGAAAAAATGAGTAAAGAAGAACTCAACAATTTCATCATCAATGATATGTTTGAAGATAATGCATCAGATATTCTTCCTGCAATTCCTGAGGAGAATGGTGAAGATTCAGAGGATGAGGAACATGTATCTCAAGTTATGGAGTTTGCTTATGGCCAACAAGCAGACAGCTGGTTAGTGACTAATGTACCAACCGCAGAAGACAAATCATCACCAACAAAGCCCCCTAGAATGTCAACTTCAAAGAAAGCTTCTCCAATCAGTGGTATATTGAAACTGATAACTGGTAAAGACAAAAATAAGCCAGAAAAAGATGACAAATCAGATCAACCTGATAGAAAAGCCCTTACTCTTGATATATCCAAATCCTCACAGAACAATACTTTGTCCCCTATTATTGAAAGCCCAGTTGTTAAAGATACCATACATGATCATGATGAGCCTAAAGAATCAAAATCTGTAGCTGATCGATTGTTGTCACTTTTTACCCCAGAAACATCCATGCCTCCTGATTTGTCTCCCATTATTGAAAGTCCATCAATGATTGGTCCAAATCAAGATGACTCAGAAATTGACCTTTACCCAAAATTTGTTCCTCCACCCAAATCTGAACCTCAACCAAATGCAACAATTATTGAAATAGGAAATGGAGACAGTGTGTGTGTTAGTCCTGGAACAGTTTTTATCCCTACTTTTGCTCAAGAATTTGATGGCTCAGATAGCAGCCTTACCAGTGCTCAGCATGTAATACCAGCCATTGATGAGTCAAATATTCTTTTAAATGAGCCAAAAGTGTCTAGTGATGAAAAAGAGGATGATGATGAAATAGATGTTATACAGAATAAAATTGAGTCTCTACCAAATATAATTTCATTAGAATATGAAGGACCTATTAGAATTGGTGGTGGGGTGATAGAAGAGCCAACTACTATCAGTGATGTACATGCTGAAAATTCCAATGATTATCAAGATGATGACAATGAAGATGTTATAGAAACTACCCCTAGAGTGAACATGGATCCTGAACAGCGAATTCCTGAATTTGAAGATAACTCATTGTCATTGGATTTCAGTGATGATGCTTCAAGTCTTTATTCAATTCATTTAGAGGAGATCACAAATCTGAGTACAGCTTTAGCAGCAGATATGATAAATGAAACTGATATTAATCCGACCAGTCAACTAAGAATAGATGACCCAAATAACCCCATGTGGCATAATTCTGTAAAATATGACAATGTCCAAGAGCAATTGCCTGGTGAATATAAAAAAGATCTAATAGCTTCAGGAACTTCAACAGTTACTTGTATTGATGCCCCTATTGATATTGAAGAAGAAACAAGAAATGTAGAGCATGGAATTGTGAAGCATGAAGTTGTGAAGACAGAAGAATCAACAATTATAGAAACTGACATTTCCCAAGTAGCTATAGTAACTGAAACTGAAGACCAAACAATTGAAGAAATGAATGCATCTGGCGAAACATATGTGAATAACGATATCACAACAGAACAGGAGACAATCCTGCATGAGGGTACTACACTTATTGATTGCAGACCATATGAGAATGTTTCAGAAAGTGAAAGTGAGAGTGACCTTTCTGATATAATGGAGTATAACATAAGCTTACAGAGCACCCAGAGTGTAGATACATCTGATATCATTGCTACAGATAAAACAACCGTTGTTACAAGTCAGGTCATAAAAAGAGATGTTGTAAATGATACAACTGTTATATCATCCACTGAGAAAATGATAACCCCCATTACTGTAGAACCTATTCCAGTAAAGAGCATTGAATCTGAAAATGATATATCTGTTCAACCAACTACAGTTTCTCCAACATCTCATTTTGAAGTTATTGAAGATAATGAAGCACCCAATGGAGAACAAACATTAGCAACACATATGGATGTTGCTGAAGACATTGAAACATCTCTGTCTTTTATTAAAACTGAATATGAAGTTCCAGCTTTTGAACCCATTGAAACTGATACTGAGTCTTTAGATGATGAACTAAATGCAATGGTGGCAAGAAATTCATTTACTGGTGATGATGATAATATACTGCCTACATCTATAGATGAGATTATGAAGCAAGAGTTTGAAAATAAGGACAACACAGAAAATATACCTCCACAAGTCCCAGTTGAATCTATTGTTCAACTACAGCATATGGATGTTGCTTCAGAATTCAAATTGAGTACTCAGGCAAAGACGGGCAAGCCAGAAGAGTCCACTCAAGCACAGCATGAGAACATTGCTCCAGAAATCAAGATTGAACCACTGAAAGAGCTCAATATGAAAGAAGATGAAACTTCCAAGGATAATGTTTCAGAGGAAGTAGATCTAAGAGTACATGAGATCTCTCAAGATATCATAATTAAAGCTCAGCAAGAAGCAGTATTTGAATATATGAAGAAACATGAAGTCTTATTTCATGATGAACCAACAGATAATATCATGAGAATAAATGGGAATGATGACATCCATGATGGGAAATCCACTCCCAATGTTTTATCTGATATTCCTACTGATGGTATTGATACAAATGCTCCGGAAATCAAACTTAGTACACAGACATATTGTGAGGACAATATTCCTGAAATCAAGACAGATCCACTAGTAGAATTTTTAATTCGAGCTCAAAATGAAGTTGTTGTCCCAGAAATCAAGACAAATCCACCTGAAGAATTTGTTGTTCAACCCCTTCATGAAGACATTGCTCCAGAAATCAAGACAGATCCACCAGTAGAATTTGTTATTCAAGCTCAAAAGGAGTATATCATTTCAGAAATCAAGTCAGACACACAGGAAGAGTCTATTAATCAAGCACAACATAAATACATCGATCTAGATATCAAAATTGAACAACCAGTAGATTTAAGCTTGAAGGAAGATGAAACTCCAAAGAATATCATTCCAAAAGAAACAGATCTGAGAGTCAATGAAATCTCCCAAGATATCATGATTAAAGCTCAACAAGAAGCAGTGTTTGAATATATGAAGAAACATGAAGCATTATTTCAAGATGAACCAACAGATACCATCATGACAATGAACGCGAATGATGAGCTCTATGATGGGAAATCCACTCCTAGTGTTTTATCTAATATTCCTACTGATGGTATTGATACAAATGCTCAAGAAATCAAACTTAGTACACAGATATATTGTGAGGACAGTGCTCCAAAAATCAAGACAGATCTACCAGAGGAAATTGTTATTCAATCTATAAGCAAAGACATTGTCCAAGAAATCAAAACAGATCTACCAGAAGAAATTGTTATTCAATCAAACAAAGACATTGTCCCAGAAATCAAAACAGATCTACCAGAAGAATTTGTTAATCAAGTTCAAAAGGAGGATATGGTTTCAGAAATCAAGACAGACACACATGTAGAGTCTATTGTAGAGTTAAGCTTGAAAGAAGATGAAATTCCAAAGAATATTATTTCGGAGGAAGCGGATCTGAGAGTCAATGAAATCTCCAATGATGTCATGATTAAAGCTCAGCATGAAGCAGTGTTTGAAGATATGAAGAACCATAAAGTTGAACCAGCAGATAATATCACAAGAATAGGCATGAATGTTGACAGCTATGATAGCGAATCCGCAACCACATCCAATGCGTTATCTGATATTTCTACTGGTATAATTGATAAGAATATTGGTGAACCTGAAGAATATGTGCCTAACACACCTGTTCAAAAGTCAATATCAAATGCCTCAACTGTATCAGTATCCAGCACATTAGTGAAAACATCATCTAGTGCATCATCAAACAACTCTGAGGATGTAAAGAAAAAGAAGAAGTCTAAATTCAATATTTTCTCAACTAAGGATTCAGAAACTAGACCAACATCTACCTCTCTTGTGAAATCACCATCAAGTGCTTCATCAAATATGGAAGATGATCTGGATTCATCAGAAACTGATAAGAAAAAATCTAGGTTCGGTTTCTTAAGATTACCAAAGCGGAAGAAAAAAGATAAGTCAAAACAGGAGAACAAAAATAAATCCTCTGCGTCATCTATGGATTTGTCACCTAGTTACGTAGAATATGGCGATGACTCAAGAGAAGCAGCCATTGATGTTTCTTTTAAGGATGAAGACAGTCGAAATGATGAGTTGGTTACCCCAGTTGAGAAAACCAGTACCCCAACAACAATAATTCCAGAACCAGAGATTGTTATTCAAGCAGTAGAGGGTGGAGAAAAGAAACTTGATGACTCTTCTGAGACTATTAGTAATACACTTACTGCACATGAAGTTGCTGTTAAATCCATTCTGCATAATAAAGATGAATCATCACCAAGGCTTGACAGAAAGTCCAAATTTAAACATGCTGTTTTGCCTATGGAAGAATCACCACCAAAACAATCTGATTTACAATGGTATGCATATAGCATCAACCTTAACCCAGAGGACAAACCAGAAGATATCTCGCCTTTAGGACATGGGTCACCTATCGGGATAAGGAAAGATAGTTTTGAAGAAGCAAAACTGAAAGATATTGGGGATTTAGAAGGGATGTCTGAAATCAGGAAACCATTAAATGATGTTGGATCTGACTCTAGTAACAACTCAGAACTTGAACGTATTGAACTTGAAAAGGATCAAGAAAGTTTTGTTGAAGAAATCAACAAGGCCTTATACAATCCAATTATCAATCAACTAGGGGAACCTAATATGCCAAATGTAAAAGCTGAACCAGTACAATTAACAAATGGAACTGAAGACGTTGATATACCATATATTACATCAAATGATGTAGAGATTCTGGAAAGTACACCAGCAAGTACTGTTCTTGTAAATACCAGCAATAGAGATGTCTCATCACCTAAAAGTCCATTAATGAGTAGTCCAAGAAGACATTCTATAGAAAGTAACAGCTCAGAAAACAGTTGCACCCCCACTAGACCTAGAAGGGCACCTCGACGTAAGCACAAATCAAGAGTTCCGTCAGTAGATCGTGAAAGAAAAATTTCAATAGAAGATATAAGAAAAGATGTAGATTATCTAGAGAAAAAAGAAAATTTCGAAGAAATCAATGCAGAAATACAGGTGCCTAGTAGAAAACCATCAGATGAAATAAGTATGACTATATCTCAAGATAATAAAGAATCCAGGGATGATATTCCCGAAGTGACTGAAGAGAGTGACCAGTCTGGAGAAGAACCACGAGAACAGAACACCAAATCTAATGCTTTGGACTTTGAACCCAAGGTTGAATCTGACATACCACATCAAAACCAAGACAGATCAAGACATGTTGAACATGTCAATGTTCGGAAACAGTCTCCTGTAGTTGTTGAATTTCTTGAGGATGATGAAGAAGATGACATTTTAGTTGGACAGAATTATGAAGGGGCTTATCCAGGAGATACAGGGGTTTACAGAGCTAGCAGCTTTGAAAATCTCTACCATGGAAGATCAGTTAGCCAAAGAACATTCATGAAAGACCAATTAGATTTTTATGATTCTGATGAATTTACACTTGATGACAAACATTCAGTAAGTCATGAAGATAACAAACAAGAAATAAAAGATGAAGCTCAAGATGATTTGAATGGAGTTTTGAGCAAGTCTGATGCTATTTGTCTATCTAATGCTTCTCCTCAGGAAGAATCTGTTGCTCACATGAGTACTCTTGATAAGGATGGTATTAATACTGCTGGGGCTACTTTGCCCAATTTACAAAATAAGCCTGATCTTGACTTGTCACCATACATTGAATATGATCCACCTTTGAACCTAAATCTTGACACACCTAACAAACAATCTATAGTCCCTTTTATTAGTGAAATTCAATCATCTGATAACAGTGTACCTTCTGACAATATCCCTACTAACACTCTTGAATCTAACAAACTCCCTGTATCTAATAGGGAAGATCCAAAGCATGCTGTTGATGTATCTACATCTGATGTAGGAACTATCCCCTCTGATAAAGATTCTGCTTTATGTAGGGATATTGATGTTGACCATCAGCTTCAGTCTCAGCTTGAGTCTAGTGTATCTTCAAATGTAGATTCAGTGAATGCTTTGGGAAGGGACTATTCTATGTCTAACAACTCTGTGATTTCAGCCACTGGTGATTCTTCATCTCTCGCTCACTCTACAAAAACTAACACTCCACCCCTCCGAGTTCCCACCCACAACAATGCAGTAGCTAAATCAGGTAAATATATGTTTATTTTTGTAATTTATTTTTGGCATTTTAGTTTTTTTTTAGTTTAGATCTTGTGTTAAACTCATTTTTATAGAATTCAAATTGTGTTAGTGGACATTCATTTTGTGATCTGATTTAAGACACGGTTAAAATAGCATGTTTAAAAAGAACTCATATGTTATTGAAAAATATCTCCTGATATGCTGATTTTTTATCTACTCATGATAAACAGATTTTGCTTTTATAAGTTTTTATTACTTTGTATGATGAATTAGAATTAGATAAGATTTCATATTTGTTTACACAACCCCTTCTATAACTTAGGGCTGGTAGCAAAATTGTGATATTTGTGATTATGATAGTTTTTGATATATTACTCTGGTGATGGGAACACTAACTACAATGTTTATATTTTTATTATTTTCTAATTGGGAATTAACAACTTTAGAAAAACAATTCGGAGACAGTATTAACTCTCCCTCATTTTTGTACATACCTGTTCTATACATGAATATAAAATGTTGGATTTTCGAAATCAGTCAAAAGCATTATTGGGATATTTGTATTTAGATAAATATGCATTCTAGACAATAACATTGTGTTTGAAAGCTGCTATTGTTGAAATAACAAACATGCTTGAACTTCGCTGCTACCTCCCTATCATTCTTTCTTAAAGCTAGAATTTCCAAGTGACAGGAATTTGGTGTGCTGGGAATTCAGTGTGTTATTTGCTTAAACAAAGTGTATGCAGTGTTAGATTTATAGTAACAACTATAAAAATGATATTATATTATTGTATATAAGTACATGTGCATATTAGAGAGTTTTTGGATTTCTGTAATAACCTGATTTATTCACAGCTATTTTGGTCTGTTGGACAAATCACATCACAGATATCTGTTACAAATACTGTAGAATAGATTTTCAGTTTGTGATATAAAGATCTCTCTTCTATCAGTTTTTACAATAGAACTCCCTGTGCTTTGTTTTGTTTTTGTATTGTACCCTTTCATTTCTTGATTCATTTGGTAGATTAGGGTAAAGTCATAAAGAATTAGACTTTTTATAGTTCATGTTTCAACACATGCCAGTTATGTCAGAAAGTACCACTGCATACTGGAATCTGTTGATATAAAGTTTTATAGATTCCCCCAGTTTGATTTTGATTTCTTCCCTTATTCATAAAATTATTTGCCCTATTAATTTTTGTTTTATAGATGGCTACATCGCTGTTGCCAAAAATGCAATGATCTCTTGTATTTCAGTTGTTCACAGTAAAAGTATTAGAACATGATATGGTTACTTCCAAAGGGCTCAAATCATTTTTGGCAATGGTTGTTTGGGCATTTGGGTTTATTTATTATTTTTAGATAATGAACTTAATGTCCAAGTTGAGAAAGTTCATGTTGAGAATCACTTCTATGACAGTGAAACGAGTGAAACTACAGCCTCAGAAGAATTTGAGGTTCTTTCAATGGCCGAAGAAGATCAAAATAATATTAATTATGATGGTGAACATATATTTGGTCATAGTGGAAACCTTTACCAAGCTGTGAGAGTAGATGATGAATATGACTTAGATATAGATCAAGGTATTGGTGATGATGAAGATGATATGGAATTAGAATCTAAGAAGAAGAATATTCCTGATATAGTCATTGAGCCTCCTACGCCATATCACAAGAGAAATACAAAATCAAATGATTCCAAATCCCCAGTTGATGAAGTTGTTAATCCTGACAATATCAGTAAGAAAAATGGCCATGACATCATTACTGAATCTTCTAGCAATCTTGAGTTTGAAACCACTGAGATAACAACTTCAGACAGAGAAACCTTGGCAAAACACCTTGATGAACTGAATGCTGATGATGTTGATGATGGCATCGAAAATCAACATGGTAGCTATGATGATATTAACCTTGATACACTGTTGTCTGTTGATGGTTATGAAGACTTGTCTGATGATATTTCTGAGCTAGGAGATGATATTGATGATGATGATATATCCATGTTAGAAGAAAGCAATACTGATGTTGATGTTTCTTTTATTAAATCAAAAGTTCTTAATGATGTTCCAATGTCAAATGGTCACATAGCTAAGATTGAAAATGATATTGATGACAATGTGGACCAGTCTCCATCTTCTACTACAAATGAGGATAAAGCTCATACAAATGACAATAGTAACGCTGATGTATCAGATGTTGAAAATGAAGTTAAAAGCACAAACAGAAATTTTGAAAATGAAAATGAATTAGAATTGAAACCACTTCCACCGAAAAGAAAAAGGTCTAAAGGAAAGCAAGTCATGGTTGATGGGCCATCTTTGGAAAAAGGTACTTCTATTTTATTGGCTTAATTCTTGTATAATACAGTCATTTTGTACAAGTTTTGTAAAAAGTCACTTGCTGAACAGTTTTACATAGAAATTTCTATATTTATAGATGGAGAAAGTTGATGAGGTTTTGAGACATGCTTTTTAGGAGAATTTGTAGAGTGAATAAGCATGTTCCTAATATCAGTTATTCCAGTCATGTCCAGGCCTTTAACATATAAACTTGTACTGATGAACTGTATACATGTGTGTGCATACAAATCTTGGCCAAATAAATCTTGGTCATTCAAATCCTGGCGCTGCAAATTGCATAAGATTTTGGATATGGTTTATTCTCCAAGGAACAGTCTCTTTATCTGTTACTTTATTAATAGTTAGATTTCATCTGCAATTAGTTTAGGTGGCGGCTTTGAGCATTTTGTGTTATAAGGATTTTGCGATGCAATTCACATTTTCAGATTTTGAGTTCCTATCACTGAATTTAGAGTTTGTGTTTTAGATGTGCCTGTTGCTCCATTGCGAAGGAGAAATAACACTTCTACTAAATCTGAGGAGCAAGGTATCTTCTTCAGAATATTACATATGCTAACCTTTCTTAAAAACATAGATCGTGATTCTTGGAATAGAATTTTTCTAAAATCACAAAGTGGCATTTTCGATGAATGTCCACAAGTCACAATTCAAGAAATTCTAATATCTTGACAAAAGTGCCTAGAACAGAGGTTTGATTCAGGACTTATCACATCGCCAAATTGCAACAAAAGTCACCTGCAGATCTCACTGCACTTTGGTTTGAAAATTCAACAACTCAAATTAAATCAAGCCTCAGGCCCTTCATGTAACCATGCCAGGCTATCTTTTTCAAATAACAGTTATATTAAAGGAGGAATTAACATTATACTAGACTTTGCATTTTAATTTAATAGTTGTAATGATTATTATACCGTAGTTGCTTCTCTAGATCATTAGTTTAGATTTTAACATATTAATAGTTTGATACTAAGCTTTACTTTAATATTCAGTTTCTGTTTCAACAGTGGTAATGTTTTAAAATAAAATAGAGAAAAAAGGATTAGTCCAAGGAAACACCATTTATATTGTGTTTGAAGAGCACATCAAGTTTTAAGTCAAAAACAAGCTTTATCTTACTCGATCTGAAAAACGATGAATTAAAGTTATTTCCTTTGCAATATAGTTTTAGTGGCATGAAATTCCATTGAATTCTGCTTTTTCACTCTATTTTTTATTTCAAAACATGGCCACTATGATACGGGTAGCTTGTCTAACATAGTGAATCTGTTGTTTGTTATCTAGTTACTGTCGCTGAAGCTAACACTCTAACTGCACATGCAAGCACTGAACTCCCTGCACAGCTAACTGTCTCAGTCAAAGATAGAATTCGAGAATTCAGCAGATCTGCAAATGATTTATCTGTGATGGATCGTCCACGCTCGCAGTCTGCTAAGCAAGCAGGAGTTAAACGGAGTGATTTACTTTTGGATCGTTCAAGGCCAAGGTCACAGTCAGCCAATCAACCAGGAGTTGACACATGTGATTCACCTGACAGAGAAAGGTCGCATTCAGAGTCACTTAAACAACCAGGAGATGACCGAAATTTGCCTGCAGATGATCACTCAAGAATGGCCTCAACTGGACAACACATAAAGCTATCAAGGAATGAGTACAGGAAAAGTGCACCAAAGTTGGGGTTCAGTCGTCGCATCAAGGTGTATGACCATGGAGCTCAGAGTGATACAGGTGACCTTGGGTACCATAGTAACCATCCCAATGACCTTGATAGCGTCTATGAGCAATACAATACAATGAGTTTCGATGATGGTCAACTAGATTCCCTTGCCCAGGCTAATATTGATGCCTCGAGAAGTTATGATGTTGACCGGAAGAAGAAAATTCCTGATGGAGTAAAACCTAAAGTTAAGCGCAGTCCAGATAATACCAAACAAAAGGAAATTTCAAGAAAGTCTCCTAAGCCTAGACGTGTCTTGCCACAAATTCCTCCCCAACCACATCATAGTGCCCCAGAATTACAAGAGCAACACCCAGATGCATCTCAAGATAAAGATGGAAGCACTGAACTTCAAGTAGAATCCCCAAGAGGGTCTGATGTGCAAAAAGAGAATAATGTACATGATGGTGCATTAGAACACAGACAAGCCTGGTTAGCTTCCCACCAACAATCAGGCTCTGGGTTTTCTTCTCCTAGAAGTTCATCTTCCCCTATACATCCACTTCATTCAAGCCACAGTGCTTCAAGTCTATATGGGGCTGATGGTGATGTTTCTTCACAGGGAACAGACATGGATTCCATCTCTGAGGTTAAACCATTCGTTCTTGCAAAGCGTCAAATCCCAGATGATGAGGCATCCATCAGTAGTACTGACAGCCCTATTGTACGTAGAAAACATGGCATGTCTGGGTTCAATCCCCACAAGAAGTACCCTGATCGCTACTCTGAGGCAGCACTTTCTGGTAATGTATGTCATCAGAGACAGAACCCAGAGACAACACTTATCGGTAATATGGATCCACCTGTGGTTGGTCATAATTCTAGTCAAGCAAGCTTCTTTGCTCAGGATTCTGACCAGGTGGTCCTGGGGCAGGTGAAGAGAAATGCCACAAAGTTGTCCCGTAAGGAGTCAAACTGTACTTTATACTCATCATCAGATAATGAGTCACTTTCTCCTCTGGCTGGGACTGTTTATTTTGGACCACCACCAGCAAAGGTCTCCAAGTCAAAGGCCCACCCAGGAAGAGCTGCCCAAATTAAGACAAAATCAAGTTCAGAGAAAGGTAAATCAAATCAGGATGAGGATGTATACCAGTCTAAAGTACACCAAGGGAAAGCTATTCAGAAGAAAGCAATGCTGAGTCAAGAGAAAGGCGGCCCAAAAAAGGATGATGAAATACACCACTCTAAAGCACATCAAGAAAGACCTATACAGAAGAAAGCAATCCAAGGTCAAGAGAAAGGCAGACCAAAAAAGGATGAGGAAATGCACCTGTCTAAATCACATGAGGGAAGGGCTGTCAAAAATAAGGCAAAGCCAACTCAAGAACAAAATAGGGAAAGACCAGAAGAGGAAGTAGAAATATATCCATGGGGTGATGGCAAAGCACAAAACAAAAATGCTACTTCGGAAGGTGCAAAATCCATGACTGATACCAGAAACACTACAGGTGAAAGAGGGAAAAAAAGGCTGAAAGATATAGTTGCCCAAGATAATTTCAAAGAATTGATAGGTCGTCATTTATATGGCAGAACTTATTCTCAGTCAGAAATGGAACATATGAGTAAGTCAGGGAGAAAACTTGGTCAATTAGCATAGGTATTTGCTTTATGATTTTTACGCTGGTTTTGGTAATTTTGAAAGGTGATGGGCTGCCTAAATGCAATTTATATATGTAGGATATTTAGGATTTACATGCATGTCATGGGGGTATACTATGGGTGTTTAAAATGGAGAATGTCATCTTGGTCATGTTTTAAAATGGAAATGAAGAAATTAAGTAAGCTTGGACGTAGACAACACTAACTGGTATAGTAATTCAATGAGTATAGTTCGTTTCATGCAGGGTCAGCTATGGGTGTATGATAAAACCAAAAGTCTACTAGATGTTTGAAAACCATGTTTGCTTCAATATGTTGCATAGATGACCCTGCATGATTTCAAGAAAATGTAAGAGAAAATTATGAACTTAATAAGGAACGTGACCAGAATGACATTTGAAGCATGGGTTTGTGGCGGTATGTATTTATTCATAACATATCCAACATTTTTTGTAAGCAAAATTGATGCGCACAACATGTAATAAAAACTCCCTTTATGTTTCAAGAGAACTTTGAGGTGAAAATCATATTTGGATAATTAGTAAAAATGTAAACCTGGTGATTTCAAGGAGGATTTGAAGCTGTTATTCAAACTCGATACTCCATTACATGGCATAGACCAATCTGGTAACAATATTACTCATATTTTGAAGACTAGAAATGCCATTTGTAATGACCATCTCCCAACGAAATACTTGGTCCAAAGAGAATCTTATAGAATTTTTTTTATAAAATTGTTCCACTACTGGCAACGGAGTATCGAGTTTGAATATATGGCTGCCAATCCTCCTTGTGATGATTTCATGAAATTTGTAATTCAGTACATGCATCAACATTTTATATGTTTAAGGTAGCTGACTTTCTACAAACAAATCATTCTTGCTTGAGTAAATAATCAGAAAAATTATAATTTATATATACACTGTTTTGTTGTTTTGCTAAACATTTACATCAGGTAAAAGCTTTTTAAAAATAGACTATTAAATATATGAGATTCATGATATTCTGAAAATGATTGACAGTAAGGAAATTGAGAGCATTGTCAACATAAAAATATTGATAGGAATGCATATAGATAATCCGTTTTACAGTTGATTACTCACAATTATTAGATTTATGCGTTGATATGTCTCTTAGAGTGACTTTCGAATTGTACCACTTGAGACACCTTAAGGATATTTGTATCAGTCACAGTTGTTGAGAGTGATTAGATAATGCGTTTTCATCAAATAAAAGATTGATCGGGGGAGGGGGGGGGGGTCAGGAGGAATAATGTGTCAAGTGTCAAGTTTAAAATGCGTAATAATAAAATTAACTGGGTGAAGTATTTATTTTAGAATGTGACGAAACTCAGAAAATGAACATATTTTTTTAGTTAGAAATATTGTGGAATAAACTTAAGTATTCAGCAGTTAATGTATTTTGTGATTAATATGAGATTCATAGGTTGTTTAATTTGAATAGTAATGCTTCATATCATTGATTTTGGGCTATTAATTTTTGCTTCGGTTGTATCTTTTCAATAAATCCTTAAATGCTATTATAGATACTCAAATCTTATTGGGCCTTTTAATTATGTTTTGATGGAATTCATTTAGATTAATCTTGAAATGTTATATAGATCAATAGGTCATATTGTCCCTTTACTTTTATCTTATGTTTGATGGAATTCATTTTGAACTCTGCAGAAATGGTTGAATATACACTGGTCATATCGACCCCATTGCATCATTCTGTCATCAGAAGTTCATGGACCATTACGCACGGGTCTGTCATTAATTTCGATGTCATGGAGATATTTTTATTCAAAACATAACCCGTGAATGTCATTTCTAGTATGGTGATGATAACCAGATCATTCAGACTACCATCAATCTCCTGCTATTCCTCAATCTTATACCATAAATGCCTAGTGTGCCTAGTCATCTGGAACATGAATATTTTGGATTTACGGGTTCAAATTTTGAACCAGGATATCTCGTATGTGACAATGTGACATCTCCTATGTATCTTTGTGACTTTGATCTTAGCTTTAATTAATCTGAACCCGACCAAGCCAAAATGACATGTACTTTTGAAGAATGTCAAAGTGGTTTATAAGACTTCATTTGAAATTTTAATCAAATCTTGATTAAAGTTACATCTATTGCCAGTAACTACCACTGTATTAAACTAGGAAATGATGAAGTAAAACAGATTATGTAAAAAAAATTCAGGGGAGTTATTCTGTACAATCATAGATATTACTTATATGCTGGGAAGTTTTAGATATTGGGGTATAACATGGGGAAATATTGATATTATATTGAAAATGTATTGAGTGAGGAAATATATCAAGGGATACTAGATCTGTCTTAACAAGTGGATATAACTTTATCCCATGACCACAGTTGTTGTGAACTTATTTTACTTTAGTAACAACAAAAAGTTTATTCAAGATTAAAAAATTTGGATGGGTATTGGGATAATAACTGATAGAAGTAATCCTGATACTCATCTTGATTTTTAAATATGTACATGTACATTATACCATATTGTTCGTCTGCTACCCATATAATAATGTAGATATGGGATAATGCAGTTTATTGGTAATGGTTCCTAAATTCCTACTTAATTGCATGCAATATTTTCCTTTATTTATTGATTTTTGACATTTTTAAAGAATTTTTTGGTTGATGGTACACTTAAATATCTTCTTTTACTTTGGGATCTTATATATACTTAGTTCCACTTTAAAGTTGTTTATTCTGAATTAAGCGAAACTATGGTACTAATGAGTATTGAGACTGTCAATATTGTAATTGATGAACCAAAATAAGTCAGTGGTATAATTAACATTGTGGTTATCCCCTTTGGCTGGATGGGGGGGGGTGGACTGCACATTGCACATACATTAGTTAATGCATAAAAGTTGATACTAATACAGCACCAAGCTTCTTAAGATACGATAAGATTGTTAACATTTTTCACATCAGGCTCATTTTTCGCATATGCCATTTGACAATTAGCTAAATACTAAATAATTCATATAAATAAGTTGCAAGAGCATCTGCCTGTGAAACAGAAAACCAGAATCACAAATCACCTTATAGCTGAGTTGGTAAGAGCAATAGACAGCAAATCCACGAGTCTTGGGTTCGACTAACTCTGCCAATGAATTCCAATTAACAATTAATACAGACATGATGTTTTATTTGTGTCAATCTGGGAATTAGAAAAATAGCTTAAGTATTAATTTTTGTGACACACCTAATGTTTATAGGCCAAGAGAATCCGTCTGATGCCAACCATGACACACCACATGTGAATGGAGTAAAGTCTAAAGCAGACGAAGCAGTGCCTTCCATTAAAGTGACCGAGCATACAACAGAGGATGTGAGTAAACCCAGTCCCTCGTCAAGTTTCTGCCCCTACCCATTTATTATTTCCCTTTATCTTAGGAGGGGTGTATAAGGGTTTAATGCAAAACTTATATTTTTGTAAATTATCACTTTGGCTAAGAGAATTGATTCTAATTGGGTGATATAATATAAGTATTGTGATTGGATGATTTAGATCACATTGTTTTATGTATGAGGCATTCTCTTACTTGAAAATCTGGTGAAGTAACGATTTTCTCACTGTTGCTGATATTAAATTGTTTTTGGTCGCACGTCACAACTCGTTAAATAGTTTTCATTCCCATGAGTCCATTGTGTAAAACCTTAATGCTATAACTACGATCTTAGGTTCTTCATGTGTTTTTTATTGATCCAAGATGAATTTTTTAAATCAAAATATTAGTACATCTCCTTGTACAATAAACTGATTTCTCAAGGTGGCTGTAACAACCCTATATAAATTGAACATTAAATAATTTATTTGACTGAAAAGTAAAAATAGACACAGACTTTAATATTTATTTGAAAATTATTGAAAGAATAATCACCCGGAGTACACATTGACTCTTTTATTTATGACATGTTTTACATTTTCAGGAGGTAGATTTAACAGAAAAGGAGTTTGAAGAGCTGGCCGATGATTTCCCGGAAGATGAAAATATTGACGAGTTGTTTATGTCTCATAAGTCTGTTGGTAATTTACAGAGCAGTAATCTCACAGTAAGTTACAGTTTTACAAATATTGATCCATTTTTGGGGTCAAGATAATAGCATTGAGGTACAGCAATGGGTTAATAGGAATATGCGGGATTTTATTATCCATTCAGGATATAGAGAAGCCATCCATTTAGGTACAGATTTTGCCAAAAGGAAACTTCTCCTGCTTGGTCATTTCTATCATGCAATGATTAAAATAAATAATGAATTGGTGGTATGTTTTGTTCAGTGGGATTTGTTACTCAGGGGACTTGCCATTTTGTAGTTGAGAAAGTATTTTTAGCAAGGAGTAATTAAGATCAGAAAGAGGATCTGCTTTGATTGATATGGTTCTGTGAATGGGGTATTTAATGGATTTGTAGTTGTTTTGTAATCACGTTGATCTACCAAGGGTAATAAGCCTGACGTACTCCCTGTATTCAATTTTGCCCTGATTTAAACCCTAAATAGTCGAGATGTGTGTACATGTTTTATATCTGATCGAAATCACCCATAAACTTTAAGAATGAAATTACAAGAATAGGGAAGATTTTGATTCCACCTCTTATTCGTGGAAAAGTTGAAATTTCTTGGGAAGAGGCAACAAGTCTCTACATCAATGCATTCAGCTTGGCATTATTTACATCTAAAAGCATCATTGTGATCTGCCCCTTATTCTCGATGATCTTCGTTATTCCTGACACCATAGCAACAATGCCCTGATATGTTAAACATTCTAAATTGACACATTCCCTAATCTACAGAGTGGTCCGGGAGTGGGTTTTTATTATTTATTACTTAGATGCACTGTATGCATTATATCCTGAGCTGAAGTTAATGAAGATTTTCATTAAATTGAGTTGACAATGCATAAATTCTTGCATTTTCGTGCTTGTTTAATGCGTCTGTTGAGAGTAATAATAAACGAAGGAATGTCTGTAATTCCAATTTATGACTGTTTGCTAATTGTAGCACAAATCCGTCCATAAATCTATATCCTAAAGTTATTTGTTGAGTGAACTTTTGTATTGAAATCACTCTTCTGAGTAACAGACAAATGAAAAACCTGTTAGAAGGTCAGTGTGAACTTGTACCCGTGTCTGAAATTTCTGTCTGTTATTACCTAAATTGCTCATTTTCTCTCAAAATTGTGAATGAACAAGATGGTTTTCTGGCATTTTTATCCAATATCTAGTCTTGACTACTTGCCTAAGTGTTTTATTCCTCTCTAATTCCACTTTTTCCTCTATATTTTGCATTAAAACATGATAAGGATAAATTCCAATCCCTATAGCATTCTTGGAAAATATTGTACCATAGGGGGACTTAAATGTATATTTGCTCTAATACTAGAATACCAGGATAGAATGTCACAACGGATCATGGATTATGTTTTGAATTGAAAATGATTTAAAGAACAAGAGCAGAGATTACAAAATATTAAAAACCAGAAATTCTTTTTTATTTTACTGTCTCCACACTTTTGATCAATTAAAACTGTACACTTTTTGGGTGTAACAATGACAATGAGTGCATTACTGCAAATTAACACACTCTTGTGCATAAATGGCAGCTGAATTTTGAACCAAAAGTGGTGGTATATTGTTATACCTCCCACCTTTTTCTGGACCATGTTTGGCATTTGGTGTTTTGTAGTTGGCATCTGTAACAAATGGCAGGTGGTAACATTTTGTTGCATGTTAATGGGGAGTTAAAGCTTGCAATGTTTTAAACAAATATTTTAAAATATTTAAGCGACACATTTGTATGGGTGGTTGATCTTACTTATAGGTTGGGTTGGCGTTTCGATTTTATATGCAAGCTTAAACTCCCTATTGCCTTGTTATGGAGTGACTTGACCCAATACAAATTAAGATTCCAGGAAATTGGTCTGCAATTACATTGAGTTAAATCTACATCATCCAGGCCATTGTGATTAACTGCATGTCATTACCACAGAACAAAACTATTGCTCACAATGGTTTATCCTTTTAGAAAACAGGAGTTTATAAATATACATTTGGTTTATCTGCAAAGGGATGAAATGAGAGAAATATTTAAGGAATTTAATTATCAATAGATAACTTTTAGAAGAAGAAGGTGACTGATTTTTGAAAAGTATTAGCAGTGACCTACGGTCACGAGGCACTATCAATCAGTGTAAAGTCATTAACAGCCTTCCCAGCGGTCACAGACCAGTAGATTTTGCTCTTTTTTTGAGTGACCAGCAAGTTTAGATATGGACTAGTGAACTTGAATGGTCAACTGGTCTCTTTTGACCAGCTTGTATTTTCTCCTAGAGAGTTGAAATGATGGATTAGAGTAATTTTTAAAGAAATCTACTGTTCAAGGATTAGAAGTGAATCCCCTTCCAAATAAAATGTTTTGGAAAGAGCATCATCTAACGTAACAAATTTTAAGGGATAGGATCTCATATTTACTCTTAATTGTACCCCAGGGATGTATTGAAACCTCTTGAAACCTTGCTGAACATTTCTGATACTTACAAACTGTATAGAAATGTTTCTGTTGCATTTTACATGAAAGAAAACGGAGCAGTTCAGGAAGCGGTTCAATAAACTTTTCACCCTTCACATTTAGAAAAAGGAGAAATATTAGTCTAACGCCATAATTTGATATACATTGACAAATTATTGCATTTGGATGGGTTGTATATGATATGAACCAATGTGTTGTATTCTATTGTTTTACAGAGCAGTCAAGAGAGCATTATGAGCATATACAGTGAAGCAGGGGAAGGCTATTATGGCATACCAGTCGAAGGGGACATACAGTTTGCCATAGATTTCAACTATAAAACAGATGTATTAACCGTCAATATCAGACAATGCAAGCATTTAGCAGCTGTGGATCCAAAAAGGAATAGATCTGATCCGTAAGTATTTAATACATGATTTACAGATGTTATGTCTGATATTGCATTTGTATTATGGTTTATGTCTGACATTGCATTTGTATTATGTTTTATGTCTGATATTGCATTTGTATTATGGTTTATGTCTGATATTGCATTTGTATTATGGTTTATGTCTGATATTGCATTTGTATTGCATTTGTATTATGGTTTATGTCTGATATTGCATTTGTATTATGGTTTATGTCTGATATTGCATTTGTATTATGGTTTTATGTCTGATATTGCATTTGTATTATGATTTAATGTCTGACATCTTGTCTGTGATGTAATGTGTTACCTATTGTGACACTATAAATGTGGTATGAGACACCACATGCCTGTATGTAATATGTGAAACCATATTTGTGAGACATTGCATGTTTGACAGATTCAACTTTAACATAATAATGCTTATGGTATAACAATCAAAGCTTGGTCAAAGCAGAACATATTTTAAGAATTTTATGAATTTTCAGTAAGTTTATATATGTTAAGTTGATGTTCTGATTGTTAAAAAAAATGCGAAAATATGGCGGTTAATTTTTTGAGGGTGAAATGGTAAAAAATTGAATAAATTTTTAGTATGGGAAAAAACTCTGTAAAACTACTAAACATGACATACTATAGGACTCTTCAGTATATCGATATCTCAATAGTACCTCAAGTATGATATATAATAAGCCTTTGGTGAAACATTGGTTGTTCAATATAACATACAAGGTCTGTTATTAAACTTAAGATCCTGTGCAAATAACTTGTGGTTCCTTTCAATAATATGTTTTATGAAACATTGCTAGGCCTTGGGGGTCTGTAATAGAATTGAAATATATTGGAAAATGGATGTGTGTTGAGGAAGGGTGTAAAAAATAAGGGAAGGTTTGACAAAATGATAACAATTTATGTAAATCATAATACTCATTGTATGTTTATGTCACAATCAGAAGTGGTGACATATTGTTAAAGTCTCCAAGTTTTTGTGTGGATGGTGTTCAGTGGTTCAGCAGTTGGCAGTTAGTGTTTGACAGTCAGCATTCAGAGTCTGTAACAAATAGCATGTGGTGACATTTAGCATTACTTAATGCCTTGTATATTTCTTTGTTGTAATGCTCCACCACTGACCACCAGTCCATATTCATATAATTTAATCCACACTATGTTTTTCTCAATTTATGTCTAATTAATTTAAAATGTTAATAAAGGGAATAGAGTAAACATGTATCGTCTATATTGTCAATACAAAGGGGTTATGTACTGGGAGGTTTTGGATACAGGTTTTATCCTGGGAAAATCGAGGGACCCCAGGAAGTGCACATATTTCCCATGGGATAAACCCTGGATCCAAAGCCTGTATTTTACGTACCTCGGCGATAATGGGATAGACACACAGAAATATCCATCCCACTCCCTAGATATATATTCCCCCACGCCCACATTATGTAGTTAGAAAACTGTATTGTATGTATGTGTATATCAACCCTGTAGAAACCTATAGTTCATATCTTTATCTTCATTCTGTTTTCTCCATCCAGGTATGTAAAGGTTTACCTGCTCCCAGATAGGACCAAGGGTGGCAAAAGAAAAACAAGAGTAAAGAAACACACACTGAGTCCAACATTCAATGAGAGCTTAAAGGTATTTGACATTTTGTTATACTCCAAGATGTGGACATGTGGCTAATTTGCATTAGGTGTATGATAATTACCCTTTCTTTTATTACTTTTTGTTTTCAAATCTTTCAAAATGAAAACCAAAAGGGGAAATTCTCTTAGGCTAGTGTATTTTTCATACATGTGTATACATGTCAGTATCACAAATAATCACATGTTAATATGTTATAAAAACAATATTTAAAATACCTGTTCCTGAAGTGTTTGGCATTTAACTAATACACCCATTCTGATAGATACTCATAATTTCTTTATTTTCAAACTATCAAAGAAAGGAATGGTTAAACGTCTGGGATGCCAATAGTCCATGATCTTTAAGTAATGATTTGTTCAAGATTTTTCAGGTAAATGTGAGATGAATGAATAATATTGAACCTTCTTTCCAGTACCATATCACTAAAAGTGAGTTAGAGACGAGAATTCTTCTGGTGTCTGTGTGGCATAATGATTCATTTGGCCGCAACGCATTCCTGGGTGAGGTTTCCATACCTTTGGAAGATAGGAGCTTTGACTACAATGTTCCGGAATGGTACAAACTTCAAGAAAGGGTAAGTCTCAAAATTAAAGATGATAATATTATGTTTATCAGGTGCTGTCTCATGTTCATCTCTAAATTTGACACATTTACTTACCTGCTGGACCACCCAACCTTGTCCAAGACATTTTGGGTGAAATAAATTCTTAATTTCACAAATTGTTCTAGTAATGTACCCTGGTTGATATATTTTTTACAACCCACAAGTGCTGAATTTCTAAGCGCATTCATGTATAAAAAATTGCAGCAATACAGTCTAATTATTAGGTTCATATATTATCTTTTGCCATTTTCCAACACTTCATTTGCACACATTGGATATGTGTTTAATATCACAAACTTACACAAGAAAAACAATTTCAATTGATATCTTAGCTGAGGGATGTCAGAAGTGTTTTGACCCGACCTTTCCTCTTATGCTAGTAGCCCTTAAAAAGGCTGTATTAGCACCAAAAATTTTGAACAAATCTTGAATTTGTGAAACAGTATGAAAAGAAAAATACAATCTGAATTTCTTTAAGTCTTTAAATGAAATTTTTGATCATTCACATGTAGGTGTTACTATTAAAGCATGTACCCATCTCCTCTAATTTGATCCAAATAGAACTTAATATTACATATATATATATATATTAACATATGTGAACTTTTTTCCCCAATATTACACACATTTAGTCATTTTTTACACACACTTAGTCATTTTTTACACACACTTAGTCATTTTTTACACACACTTAGTCATTTTTTACACAGACTTGAAAGATTTATTAATTTTTATCATGAGCAGTCCAATAGAATTTAATCTAATTCTTCATTTACTGTAGATACACTTAATAGCCAAATTAAGTGAATCTATCGTATTTGCATATTAATATGAATTAATTATCATATATTTAATTTGAACTATATGTTATACATATTTATTTCAATGATGGTCATTCACAGACTAGAACTTCTGATACGGTTAGTTTATTGTGTGATGCATCTAGACTGTATGATCATGTGAAATACCGTCCCATCTGTGCTTATTTCAAACCATATAAGGAATTAGCATGATATTGGCGATGATGATGTAACAGTAATGTTCTAGAAAAGTTGTATATGCTTTGTGGCCCTAGCATGTTTTGAATTACAATGAACTAAGAAATATTTTCTTAAAACAGATACTGCATGTAATGTTGAAAAATAAGAAATAATTTGTTTTAAGAAATGTTCTAGTGATATTGCAATTGACATTTGTCTGTTTCTGTTATGAAATAATGTGAAGCAAAGTTGATAAAAATTCAAAAAGTATTAATAACATAAATTGAGAATAAAACTTGCATTTCACAAGCACTTTTTTTAATATGCTTTGAATGTCTATGAGCTTCACTCATTTTATATTTGAACAAAGTCAACCAAATTTCTTTAGATGTGTTCGAAATACATGAAGAATGCACCTTTATAAATCTGTATAAATATATATTTCTGAGGTGACGAGAAATCTCATCTCTCTGGGCAGTCAAGAGGTTGATGGTCTAATGCTAAATGAACCTAGGAATAATCAAGAGATGATGCCGTGTTTTGATCCCACCCTCTAATCTCATTAATTTATTCAACATATTATTCATTGCGCTATATTATTTATATTTCTATAATCTCTGTTTAATACTTTGTAAATATATTTAATATAAAGTATTAATATTGTATGTTCATTTTCTTTCCGAATCTAGCTGTATACGGTGAGATTTCAGAGCATCTTATTTCAAAGCCTACTCTGTTACTTTTAATGTTAATAATTTTAAGTGCTGCTCATCTATGTCCACTGTTGGGGTTTGATTTTATCCTGCGTTTTCATCATACAGGGTGTCCTGTATAGGATTAATTTTCCATTCTTTTGGAATACCCTATATGTTGTATGAAAACACAAGGAGTGAAATTAATATTTAGTGTTGATAAAAGGTTGTTAAGGTGTTTGATGTGTTATTTATACCTTTGTAGCTAATATTCCAGCTATTTGCTCAATTTCGTGCTTTACAATCTTAAATGTAGCCCCAGAAAACGTGCTTGAGTGTCTGCATGAGACTCAATGAAGACTAAGCCTGTAGATAATGCTCATCTTAATCTAAGTTTTCTAATTCCATGAGCATTGGCCTTGACAACAATGTTTATCTAAAATTGTGAAGGTTTATATTCCATAGGAGCTATGATACTTTCTTTGGCTTTTGTTTTACGTCCCTATCATGTCAACTCCAGAAGTGGTGACATATTGTCACAGTCTCAAACTCTCTGTTACAATGTTTGGCATCTGTAACAGCAGTTGCCATCTGTAACAAATGGTAGGTGGTGACTTTCCATGTTAATGCCTTGTTTCAACTGACCATACCTGGAGTATGGATTCTGGGTGTGCCTCAATTCACCATTTATATACATGTAGTGTTTATAAAGTAGTTACAATTTAGTTCTAATGATGAGTACAAATTATATTCTTTGAAAGTTACTTGGGCAGTCTTCACACAGTCCCACAAATACCATTTTTGAGGCAGTTGAACATTCCATTCAGTTTCATTCCTTTTAGTTGCATATGGCCATGTTTTCATAATTTGCGCCAAATTGTATGTCTGCTTTGCTTGCTTTCTGTGGCTTTTATATTGCTGTGCATTTGCTTTTTACAATCTAACTACCCCTTATAGTATAATGCTTGTGAGCCTTTGTAATGCTTTTAGCCATTGTATTGTTGTAAGCCTTTGCAATATTTGTAAGCTTGTAAGTGTGATCTAATACTTAAAAAACATTAATATGCCAAAAATAGCTGATTTAAAAATTTACAATTTAAATATACATACTAAATAGTTCTAACTTAGGTCTAACACATAATGCTTATGATAGAGTATAAGAGTATTATTCTATGAAATGCCTTGCCTTTATTCTTAACAGCATGTCTCATAATATTTTCAGATCTACTTTATTTGTGGAAGAACACACATCAATGTCATTCTCATAAGAATCAGTAAATTTCAGGATAAGACTAATGCTTAATTATTATTTTCCAGGATAAGAGTCAAGCTCAATTACTAAGTTACAAAGGTGATTTCTTCATTGATTTGAAGTACATCACAGGCGACAAAGTCGAAGCTAAAGAATCTCCAACTAAAAAGAAAAGCAAGAAGCCAGCGCCACCTGTACACAGTCGTGGTGAACTACATGTCATTGTGAAATCCGCAATTAATCTAACTGCAATAAAATCGGCTGGGTATTCAGACCCTTTCTGCAAAGGGTAAGTACAAGCCTTGACAAGAGATGGAGATACGTCTATTTGTCTGCATGAATAGTATCCAAGCCACAGCTTGGTTATTCCAACTGTTTATCTGTTCATCATGTATTATTATATTCATCATGTATTATTTGGTTCGTCAAACAATTTAACGCAATGTTAGATTTGTCAGTTTTCAACAAAATATTAATTTGACATTTGTTTTAGGTAAACCCTTTTCAGATATTTAGCATGGTGGTAATTTCTCCGGAAACATTGTTAATTTCCTTCGAAGGTCTCCAAAGTTCTTAGTACATGTATGGTGTTTGTATACCACAATGTTTGTATACCCTTATGTTTGTGGTGGGTGGATTACATGGTGGCCATTCTGCTCGATATCTATTTGTATTTCTTGTTTCAGATATCTTCTCCCAGACAAGTCCAAAAAAGCGAAAATGAAGACTCCCGTTGTTAAGAAAAATTGTAACCCAGTCTGGAACCACACATTTGTATTTGAAGATGTACCATTGGCAGACTTAAAGGAACGATCCCTTGAGTTAACAATATGGGATTATGATAGACTGTCCAGTAATGACTTCCTGGGTGGGGTTCGACTCAACTTGGGAACAGGTAGGTATTCATGTTATTGGAAACGAAAAACATCTGTCTGTCCATCAACATCGGTGGTACAAATTAAAACTGCTATTTGTATTAGCTCCTACACACATTTATTTTATGCATATCTATTATTTATTTGACCTGCCATCATAATTTTCAAAGTTCACTTGTTTTATTTAAAAAGTCACATTTTCTCGAGATACACATAAAAGAACAATGAGCCCATGCGTTGCAAATTACATGCTCACATTTAAACTGCTAAGTACGCTGTGGCAACCTTGTCAACTGCGCGCATGTGTCATCTGCAACAGCTTATTGCTAGTGCACCACAGGAGTTCGATTGCAATAAACCGTGATGTTTTTCAAAAGAATTATGTGAGTGTTAGTGCGCTTGAATGAGCTTTTTTATTGAAAACACATGAGCATTGTAATGAGCACTGCAGGGCTTATTGTTCTTTTTAGTGGGGCTAAATGTCATTAAAACATTACGCAATTCACTAGCAATGCTGGCATACAAATAAACAGAGCACTGTTTTATCAGTGACTGTTGGTCATTATTGTAATATTTACCCTGTTTAACTTGCTTATTTTTTGTATCCAGGTGAGAGCAATGGGAAAGAAGTTGAATGGATGGATGCTAGGGGCGATGAAGTATCTCTATGGCAACGAATGCTTTCTAGTAAAAACCAAGTGATCACTGGCAGCCTTCCACTGAGACCTAATATGGACTATATTAAAATGAAACCATCATGAACCTTATAAGGAGCCATGAGCCATATAAGGAGTTTAAATATCATTTACCTTATATGGAATTTATATATGACAATGTAACAATCATATCATCATGAATATTTTGTGTCTTACATGCTAACATTGTGAAGTACTTTAACACCTTGATTTGATCTTCATTCAAATATTATAAAACCCAATGACTTAATTTTAAGATCAGGAAACTAATATATGAATCATATATCATATGAGAATCAGTGGTCTTCATGAAAAATATAAAATGAACTAAGTGTGATACTATAGTACAACTGAACCCTTCAGTCTACATCAATATTTTTAAATATAAAACCCACCACAAGGTAGCCTTTATTGAAGACAAACTAGGTCTCGATTGAATAATATATGTGTGAAATAATATAGTTATAAATGAATTATTGAAATCATAAGGTAGAGAATAGATACTAGAACCGCTTATTAACTTTTTATTAAGCTTTCAAACAGATCTGATAGACAGACCACTTATCCATTTCCTTGCCAATTTTTGAAATCTCACACAGACACATTCAATGCTACATGGAAATTTTTTTGACTTAAAAGGCAGCTCAACATACGATATGTGGTCATTTTGTTTTCTACCATGCATAAGATAATAGAAAGTATGTAGAAATAAGTATTTCAACTTAGTGACATTTTATTTTGCTATTGTGCATTTTGTATTGTGATGCCCACCTTTTTCATCATATGTTGTGAATATAAGTATCAGTCCACGAGTAATGCTAAAATGAGTAAAAACTAATACAAGAATTGTTGTTTGTTTTATGCATACATTTATTTATTTATAGTCCCATGTATTTTACAATATAGTCCCACTTTAACACATCAGTCAACTGTTAATACAGTTGAGGGTTCATTGAACAAATGAGAACTAAAGAAGCAAGTCAAATTTTGTATTTGATATCTTCAGTTAGGAAGACATACAGTAAACCTGTCTAATCCAAATGCCTCTGGGACTTGTGAAAGTGTTCAGATTAGCAGGTGCTCACATTCAAAGTTTCATAAACATGTAAGTCAATAAATAATTGGGACTAAGGAAAAGTGTTCACGTTGAGAGGTGTTAGGATTAGGGAGGTGTTTGGATGTAAAGGTTTCACTGTATCTCTAAATGAGTATGTGTTAAAATTACAATGTGAGATTGAGCTCTCAACTATTTGTATCCGCATAACAGGATTGTGTGCTTAGCCTCTGTCATCAGCTAGTACATATTTGTATAGATTTATGAGATTAAAATATTTTGAAAATTTCAACATGAAATTTTGTGTATATTTTCTAAATTGATTGATGAGTTTAAGCCATACACATTTTGTAATATAATTGTAACTCTGAGGCATTTCCATGACAGAGATTTTCAAGAAATCCTAGACATAATATTTGTTTTGTGCATAGTATTGCATCGTACATGATATGCACTGTGGTATATTGTAATGTGCATATTGTATTGCATTAACCATTGTATATTGCATCGCACAACTATTGCATTTGCACTGGTATGTTGCATAATACACTTTTATGATATATTATATAGTCTTTATATTGTATGTGATATTGTATTGTGTGTGGTAAATTGTATGAGGCAAAGTAAATGTATATTGTGCTATTTTGTAAGAAAATGTTGAAAACAAAATATGAAAATATTGTGAATATTCAAATGACATCATTAAGCAGATGTTAATCATGACTACAATTTATACAGGCTTTACATGTTTCAAATTATTTTGTTTTAATATCCAGTTATGGCTTTGGCCTTTATGGTGTATGAAGTTATATAATATTTATTATGTACATGAGCATTCCTTTATAATTATTAGCAGGTCATTATGACCTTGGATTTAATATATGAAGCAATTTGATATAAAAATGCAATAAAGAGTTGTGATGTTGGTTAAATGTTTGAAAGCAAGCATCGAGTTTGTCTACTTAAAGGAGTATTCCACATCAAGATTTCCTAGTGAAATTGCTAATGTTACACATTGCTTAATGTTTTAATCCAGTATGTTGTTGTAAGGATATAAATATATTCATATGGTTTAAAATCAACAGGTAGAAATGTAGCATTTGCAACTCAGTTCAAAATGGTTGCCTTAACTGCCATATTTACTTTGGTGTGGAATGTTCCTTTAATGATAACTTTAACATGAAAAAGTTCAGGAATAAAATGCAATTCAGAACTTCTTAAGGATGTCATACGTGTCAAGGATTTTTTTGAAATTGTGGGTTGTTTGAAAAAATTCAGGGTGAAAATCGGGATTCTTTTTTTGTAAAATCAGGAGAAAATCTGGATTTCTATTCAACAATTGGGAGAAAATAAGGGTTTCTAAAAAATCAGGAGAAAAATTGGACTAAATCTACAATTTTAAAAATTGGGAGAAAATCTGGATTTTTTCAATTTGGGACTTGACAGGTGAGGGATATGTTCAAAAACAATTAATACATACATATAAGACCTATGTACAATTTTACTTTTGGAGATCATGAAATTCATGTATCTTTTCAGATATCTGTGATTACCATTACATATGTTAGAGACCAAAATATTGAAGAGATGTAACTGGTTAACTCAAGTGCATAGATAAGGTGCATGGTTTTGACACTTGTATGTATAAGCTTATGCAGGTGACTTATATTTATAATTTGTATATTACATTTATTTTGTTATGCGGTTGAGGATTGTAAATATTTATTCCAAAGTAATTTTATGTTATGTAAAATATTAAAGCTAACATTATTTTTTCATCCTGTTTAAAGAAATATTATTTATATATATGCATTGATCTTGAATCAAAGTACATGTCCACCAAAAATAGCCTCAGAATAAAAACTTGTTGTTCAAATATCTGGAATTTAAATCTCAAAAATAGATTGAGCTTTGCCTCATTGAATTAAACTGAAATGAATGAGACCATAACCACTGCAATAATTTAGTCAGGAATTTGATTTTTTTAAATTCCAGAAATCTGAACAGAAGTGTATTATATTATTTTAATGGTTGGGTTAATTGATTATATTGTACCGTATTCCGTTGTTCATCAAAATTCGCAAAAAATAATTGATAGTTATGATTTCTAGTATAAATTTATATTGCTTTGATTTTAAAAGAACAAACATCTGTTGTATGGTCCCAAGAAATGTCTCATTTAAGGTGGCTCTTTACCTAGAGTAATGCTTCAACTATGTTATCTTGAGGCTTAACATTGAACTGAATGTACAGATATAAATCACACATTTTGATAAGTATAGAATTGCAAAGAAAGTAAAGGGGAAATTGAATAATCCACTTTCAGGTTTGAAAATATTAGACATTTCATTTACTGACACAGTCTCAGGAAACTGAAATTGACATGTAAAGTGAATAGAAAATGGCCTCAGATTCAGGGACTTTCTGGTGCTGTGCATGAGACTGTGAAAATATTAGAGAAATTATCTGAAATCACATAAACCAATGATCAATTTTATTACTACAGTAGGATGGACCAAAGATGTTAGTAGGAGATCACGAAAATTAGTTACATATTTCTTTGATAACAACAGGTTTTGATGTTTATGAAAATGGCAATAGAGTCTTGCCATATAATGCATTACAGGTAGAACAGTAATATAGTGAATGTACTTTGTACAGACTAACATTATATACAAGTGAAATAAACAGAATTTTCTACACAAAATTATCTTCTGTTTTTGAAAAGAAAAATTGATCACATAAACAAGATCCATAGCTAGTAACTTTGGTTGTCATATTTACATGTAATGATGGTGGGAATAAACCTTCATTTTTCTGGAAAATGGATTCAACAAAATTTCCAAATGTCAAAGGCTTTACGCTGGGTTTGACAACAGAATCTATACTCATTGAGTTTAACACCAAGCTCTAAATGGGTATATACAACAGGGTCCACATTCTCATGTTAAGACACCGTAGATTTGACTCATTAGCCCTGAAGCCAATTTTAAATATAAGTTACTCTAGAAAAACTAAAGATTTTTACAATCATGTATTCATTTTTTATTTACTATTTATTATTTAGGGATTTTGTGCATTGTGCACACATTTTTTGCATTGAATTCTCAATTATTTCACCATTTGATAAAATTCTGGGGATCCTCTGGGAGATGTTATATTTGTTAGTGTACATTCACTTTTAATTTTTGTCTCCTCCACAGCTCTGACTATGCCTTTAACATGTTTGATGCAATAAAAAAATGGTACATTATCTACTCTGGTTTTAGCAATTTACGGATACTAAAAACGCTCAGATTGCACCAAAAACCATCAAAAAAGTTCTAGGCGACAATGCCCCAACCTCCCTTTATTGCCTCCCCTGAGTGGGCATACCATCTTTATAAAACATATTGTTGCAAAGTATTGTAAATCCTGTGTTTAACTGAGAGAAGATTTTTGAGAAAATACTCTTGAATTACCTGTACAAAAGGAGGACTTTATTTTGAAATAGCATAATTTAAAAACAAACAAAAATGTTAAACCAAATCAACCTTGAAATGAACCTTGAAATTCACCCATTTATCTTTTGTTTACAGTCATGTCACAAACCCTTGTACATTCCTGCAAAAAATGGACCAAAATTGGAATTTTGTAATTCAAGTTGTAATGTTGTTGAGAGGGTTACACTGCATCAAGCTTAATAAACACATGTTACTGGCCTGTAGAACTAGCTTGACATTTCATTTTCAGCAGCTTTTTTCCCCACTACTTACATCAATACACATTGTTCTGTGTTAACTGAAAGATGAGGGCAAATCAATTGAAGTGTATACATGGATGTATTCTTTTCATATCTTTGACATTCTTCGGATTTGGGCTCAACTGGTTAGTGAACTCATATGAAGGAAAAGAACCAGTGAACTCATATGAAAGAAAAAACCCAAGCACTATCGACAACGTTGATGCTGGCTGTTGGAACAAAGATTTTCGAAAAATTGTAGGTAAAGGGTTTTACCGATGTCGTAAAGGTGTGATGAAATGGTCTAGAGCTGATGTCATTAAGGAGCTTATGAAATTTAAAGATGTTTATGACAATCGTCCTTCAGCAACAAACAAATGGGGCACAAGAATAATGCACCAATTTGGACTGTGGATAATAATTCGACAACTTGACCCTCTATATATAATCGAAAGTGGAATAAACAGTGGTCTAGGGACATGGATGTTGAGACAGGCTGCCCCTACTGCAAAACTTATAATGCTCGAACCTAGTAAGACAAATCTAATATACAAAGATACAATGAACGACAGTGTCTATCTTCAAGGTGTTAACTTCAAAGATTTCTCTGAAGTAAAGTGGGAAAAATACATTAGTAACATGGATAGGTCACTCGTGTTTTTTGATGACCATCAGTCTCATTATAAACGTGTGAAACAATCAAAAGACTTGGGGTTCAAACATCTAGTATTTGATGACAATGGCCACCCTACTAAAGGAGATGTATACTCCATAAGTCAAGCATGTGATGCAGGACGTTGTATCACAGATATGGTAAACGAAGGGGTTAAAATAGTTATGAAGGATAATTTTGGAAAAGTGAAGAAAGTCATATCTGATGAGGAATCAATCAAAATGGCTCAGTACATATATGACTCGATTGATACATACTACCAAGTACACCCACTGTGGAACATAACTAAGGCAAGAAGAAAAAAAATAGGTTTTTATTTATTACCACATGACATATCATACAAAATCAACCCACTTCCTTTGCTGACAAAGCAGCAAGCAGAAATATATCAGAAGAATTTTACGCACCAGCCACTACAAATGGACGATTTGAATCAATATGCAAATATGTGCTATATTAGATTGAAGTAGATCTTGTTAACTGGAAGCACATATTAGATTATCACTATATTAATATATAGTTTCAAATTGTAGCAATGCATCACTGATATTGATTTGAAAAAATAAAGATAAATAGGGATCCCCGATCAAAATTTAATCGATGATTTTTCATATTTCATTATTGAAAAAAATACAAATGGGTTATTCTATTTATCATATAGCTTTCGATTATTCTCATGGAAGAGAATATTACACGAATGTGGTAGAATGGGTCATTCTATTTATCATATTATACTTTCTTTATCATTTGGAATTTGGATTGAAGAGAATATTATACAAATAAGGTAGAAAGGGCTATTTTCTTCTTTAACATTATCATTCTTCATTCAGTCACATGATTTTATACATGTATTTAAAGATTTTCCCCTACCATGGCAATCCCGGTCCATTAGTATACACTTCATCACATGTGATGGAGACATTAATAACAACCAATTCTTAAATATTTTACATTGCATAAATGACTGTTGATATAATAAACAAATGTGCTCTCATTATAGACTATTTTCTTTTATTGTTGTATGCTTCTGTTTACATGGAAAAAGCAAATACATTTTCCTTCTAAGATACAAAGTCCATATCTCTGATGTAAAGTTTATATATCAAGTATCTTAATAAGCATAGTCCATATATCACCTCATGTGGTAGGTATATGTGCTCCCACCATATGTTAATTTTATAACCAATGACCGTGGATCTTTCGGATTTTTCTTACAGACTATTTTTCCCTCCAGACTTTCTCCTGAAAATGAAAAATTGAAATATTAAATGGAATGGTGTAATGCATGAGTGATCTTATTTAGGTGACATAACGTCCATTTTTAGATAAAATGCATTTCATTAATCGCAGTCTTTGAAATGGGCATCAGAATATAATTCTAAGCATAAGAGGTATACATATAAGAAGTTTAGTATAACTAGACTTATCCCATACTTAGTAGTGTGATAGGCAAATAACATGCAGCAATATAATTGATAGCTGAGGTGAGCGGGAGATATATATCATCCGCTCAACAATTCCCGGGAATTTCGTTTTATGTTAAAAGCTTGTGGAGTTTTTACAAAACAATAAATGTTAAGACCTTTACATTTAGATAAGATATTTATGTTTTGATTGTAGTTATCATTTGCAATTATTACATGAGGGTTCCACAACATTCAATGCATACTTAAATATAATCTACTAATCTTCAAAATCGACAAAGTATAGGATAAATCAGTTATTAAATGCTTGATTTTTGATACAGGGTATATCCCTTAGAAAATACAATATATCAACCCTCGGTCCCTACGGTCCCTGGGGTAGATATATTGTATTTCCCTTAGATATACCCTGTATCAAAAACCTCTCATTAAATAATCTCTATATATTTACAATTAAAATATGATGGCACATACAGTAATTCAAAAGTTTTTCCCAAAGCAAGGAATTGAATTGTGTAACCCTAAGCAAGGTTGATTAACAAGTGTTTGACATCTTATACCCAATAACATGATGACATGATGATACATGACATGATGTAGTGAATGTTAATTAACATGTTCTCCATGTTGTAGTGACATCTAATTTTGGGTGGATTATTATTTCTTTAAGTGACGATTACATCGCCAAAAATTGAATTTCTATTTCTTGTCAAAGAGTAGCAAATGACAGGTTCAAATCCAGTTAACAGACTATAAGTTGTCCAGGGATTGAGTTGTCTAGGGGATGAGTTGTCCAGGGGATGACCTTGTCTAGGGGATGAGTTGTGTAGGGGATGAGTGGTCTAGGGGATGAGATGTCCAGGGATGAGTTGTCTAGGGGATGAGTTGTCTGTAAGCCCTATGCTGCTAAGAGTTTAACAGAAAAACATACAAAATATCATGCAAATGCATGAAATCACAAGTGATCTGAGACAGAGAAGGTGATATCACAACCTTACCCCTCCCCTTCTCTCTCTTTTTCTAGTTAACAGGGAAACCTCACCTTTGGCCAATGTGACAGGGGTATGCAGATGGAAGACAGTTTGTTTCCAATGAGTTGGTGTAGACTTTGGACTGGTGGAAAACTCCACCTGGAAGAGAAAATAACAAAAATGCATGCTCTTATGTACTACAAGTATGAGAAGGGAGTCATGCTTTATAATTATAAAGTACATGTATTCTAATATTATTCTGAACACACAGTATTCACCCCGCGGTATCCAAACTGCGTGCATACTATGCATGCATGATTCTACCATGTGATAGCGAAAGTTTTGTCTAGATGAACGTAGGTTTTAAAATATAAGCAGATTTTTCGATAAGCAGGTTTTTCGATTACCGACACATAAGTTAAGATGTCACACTTTTCACAGAAAAAGAAAATACTATATTACTTAAACTATATGCAGCAATCCTGTATCTTTCATTATATGCAAACACAAGGGCTAAATAGACTTCAAATTACAACAAACAGACATTATATGAAGCAACACTGTATATATTGAACAAGAAATCTCCTTAGGAACCTTATTATATTGAGATAACTAGGTTTACACCAGGAAAAAAAATCAAGTGCAACTTGTAAAGTAAGCTAGTCTCCACATAATGGTTATGTCTGATAAACAAAAGTAACCTTGTATTTCCAGTACTTTTCATCCTTATGGGAGTCGTGTCCTCCCCGTCTGCCATTGTTAACTATGCGTGCAGTTTGTCAAGGTTTCAAACTGCGTGCATACTATGCATGCAGTTTGGATAGCGCACCATGGTATTGTTCATTAGAAGTATGCAACAGATGATTTTTAACAGTTTTTTGTTTTGAGGAATTTTGCAACTCTATAATGTTACAATTATAACTTACAATAATTTGCTCACAGAATTGTTCATTAGAACCAGGTGATTTATAATTGTTTTTGTTTTTTACCGAAACCACTTATGCCTTGGTCACATAGGCTCCGATTTTCACTACGGCACCCGGCCGATGAGTATTTTGTACAAAATCGGCCGGCGAGCCCGGGCATCGTACGGGCGCCGGGTGAAGATCGCCACTCATCGGCCAATTTTTAGACATCGTACGGGCGCCGGCAGAATTTTATCGCGGAGATAAAAGTTGCCGATGTCTTGGCGATTTTTTCTCAAGCAAACTCATCGGTACCTACTCGGCCGTGTCCCGTCCGGTCATCGTACGATTATCTTACGGCGCCCGGTGGCATCGCACGGTCATCTTGGGATTTTGCGTGCTGATTTGTTTGATAAATCTTAATAATGATTACTTATAAAGTGATTAAAAGGTTCTAAAAATAATGAGGTAAGGAATTATAATAACTACATACTGTCAGAGATTTTTTATAAAACATAAATGGAACGATTAGGCTTACTGTAAAACAATGACACACATCTGAATGGCTGGGTAGGTGGGTTGATCTAGTCGTTCTTATATTGACATTGATCGTGTATGTCTGTCATACACATTGAATAGAGTGATACATTTTTATACGTATATTCACTCATGCATATACCATTACAAATCATTTATTTTAAAAATCTTTTGACTGATTTTGTGAGTAGTATTTTGAAGGGTCACAATTTTAATACGAAGTTCACTGTCTCAATAATTACAGTTAATATGCCAAAGGCTAAGGATAGAGGGGATTAGGCCAATTGGCCATATATAGGTAGACATAGTATTTGTTTATATGAAAGATCTAAAAATGAATTAAGGTCAGGTTGCACTTTGATGAAAAGTCCACGTGCAGTATGGCAAGTAATTTTAGACGGTCATAACTTTCACCATGAATACTCTCTGGGCATAAATACAGTGTTCTTATTAAAACAATGTGTTTTCTTTCAATTGGAGTACCCATGATAGTAAAAATATCAATCAAACAATTTGAAAAATTATGATTAGGGACCCTATGTCATCATTTTTTTCTGAATATTGAACCTATTTACTCGAAAAGAGGATCTTCTTTTTCTGATTTTTATTGCATGAAAACATTATTAACCTGGAAGTCCTGTCTAGCGAAGTATTTCGTTTTCGAATCGGCAGATAGCCTTGCGATACCCGTGCGATGTCTTTCAGATTCAATTGATTGCGGGCGCCGTACGATGCCTTTACTAATGTGACCATATTCACGATTAGATCAAGACATCGGTGAAAAGTCGCCGGCGCCCGGTCGATTTAGAAATCGACCGATGACTACTCATTGGCCGGCGCCCGGCGCCTATGTGACCCAGGCATTACTGTTTTGAGAATTTTTGCAATTGTATGATTTAAAACTATAACTTACAATAATTTGCTTGTTGTTTCCAATCATTTTGACCACTGCCAGATATTCTAACGAAATCTCTGAGTAAGTAGAGACTACACATTTCAAATCCTTATGACCTATAATTTTTGTGTGTTCTGCACTTCATGATAAAATGCACAAAAACATCTAACAATTAAAAAGTCCCTTTCCAGCCCAAGAATTATTTTTTGTGAAATAAACTTTATTAAAGTTCAGACCTCCTCCCACCTGTTTGGTGAACCTTATCAAAAAGAAAAGTTAAAACTTTTGTCCACCAATGTTTTTTTCTATTTGTTAATCTCTATGTAAGACCTCTAATGTGATTTTTGAAAAGAATGACAATCTCTTTTTTGACCTGGCTGCATGATCCATGGTGAAGTAGTCAATTTATGCTCAAAATTAGATTTTGAAAAAATAAAATTATAGTTTTGATTTACAGTAACCAAGTCTGTATGGGGACTCTGTTGTTAAAGTCACTGAATTTGCAACAACCCTTAAAGGGTTAATAAAATCATAAGATAGAATCCTAAGGCTCACTTTAGAATGTGGTTGCTGGGCAGCAAATGTGATGTCAAAGTAGCCTGCTATGGAGTAGATAGTTGTATCTGTGAGAGCAGTTAGTTTGATGGGTGACACAAAATCTAACTCTTTTGTTGAACATGTGTGGATGTCTATCTCCTGAAATATAGAAAACATAACGATAATAAAATAATACTCAGAAATTACCAATTAGATATTACATGTACTTTGAAAATAAAAATGCCTTATGCACTATAAGTAATTCATGATGTTTTTGTGCAATATGCTAGATTTGCTGGATTTGCTAGATTCACATCTTTCTGGGAGCCATTTGTACAGATGCAAAACCTTCCATGCTGGATACATATGAAACATTTGTTCATTGCATTTTTGAACCTTTCAGCAACTTTGGGGGTTGCCCTAAAATCAACACAAAATGAATTTTTACCTTCCAGCTGAAATGTCATTTACAATTACATCACTATCATAGACAGAGAGACCATAACAGTTAAAGGCCAAAAAAACTTTCACAACACCAAGACATGCAAGACTGATACTAGTTTTCCTCACCTTTATTGTACATGGCTGTGTGGCGATTTTATCAGATCTGACTATGATTTCAACAGCCTCTTGTAATATGTCTCCCCTCAGGCAGGACATCTTGAACCCATATACATCTGACCAGTAACCAATATTTCGTCTGAAAATACGTAAAATGAATTGATGCCCATATTTTAAACCTCAGGAAAGTATAAAAACGGCGGAGTTATAAAAAGTAATATACATGTAGCTATAGCCTGTAGTGAGAATGATCCTTTGTAGTGAAAAGAATTGACTGAAAATAAAATTTTGGACGGATACAAATTGAAATAATCACATCTGAAACCTCTTGTAATATGTCTTACAGACACTGGTTAATCAGTAGGGGCTAAAATGGGTCTTTTTGGCATCATATTAAACAAGTATGGCTAAAATTTAAAAAATTGGCCTAAATAGAAAAAAATACCCCTCAATTTTCTAAAAATGGGGCCAATTTTCTCTCCTTTGTCAAATTCCAGATCACCACCTGGAGGACAACTTAATTAAGGACTAAGACATGTATAGAGAACTCTTATAAAAAGGTTGTCCCCCATGGAACTACCTGTCAGGGACTGGGTAGGAGCTTTACCAGTCTTAACAAGCAGTCTTCAGGTTTAGTGACATGGCCCAGACCTTGCCTTGACATGACCTTGACATTGCCACTTCTCCCATGCAATGATCACACACCTCCTTCATGTGAGTCATATGCACCCATATAGGCTCAGATCAACCTTGCAGTGAGGTCTTCACTTAGACATTTAGTCAACTCTGACTTTTAATTCATTTTATGAGGTATTCAGTATTCATTTTCATTAGTCATGTCTGACTCCATTTCATTTAAGACTCTCACTTTATACCTCAGATATTTTGGGATGTTAACAGTATTATATAGCACTCACTGAATTTATTCACATCAATCAGCGCAAGTAATCTAAAAGATGATGTCTCCTTTCTTAGCCTCAATACAATTGAATGTGGAATCAAAAAGTTGGGATAATTTGTAAACTAATCTAATATTAATTGTGAAAGTTAACATGGACTGTGTTTAATCCTTATTACAAAAGTATTAATAAAAATGATGCAAAGGGCATTAAATATTCAAAAAATTAGCAACATTCACATATAAATATCATATCACCCTGTCCTGTTAATAGTTAACAGGATACATATACTCTACATGTATTTGTACTTCTTTGTTGAGTGCAAATAGAGATAACACCATTGTCCAACCATTGTTATCATGTTACTATACTCATTCATAAAAAATTAAATAAGAAAAGATAGAAACTTTATTAAACACTCACTGGTAGAGATCAGGATCACTGACACCTAGGAGGTTCAAACTACAGTGGCTTGGGCATATGATACCCCCTGGGTGGAGCCATCTATCTCTGGCATACAGAACTGTGTCTAACATGGACTCAAACAGTAGGAAGTAGCCCATCCATTCCGAGATTATAATGTCTACCTAAATTAATTAAATCAATTAATAAATACTTCTTCAGATAAAGTTACATGTTATGTAGGGCTAAACAAATAGTGTTATAGAAAGATATCCCCCTCCCACAAGGACAAAAATTAATTAATCAATGAAAGAATTAATGCCCAAAATTATTCACACAGTGGCAAACAGTGAGCCAACCTGCCTAGTGTGACTCTACTTAAACATTTCATGATTTTCATGACCAAAAAATTGTTTTGGTATCCGTTCTAAAATTTTAAAAATACCTTATCCACAGGAATAGTAACATCTTCAACGCGACCTTTCACCAGTGTGATGATGTCATCAAGTTTATTCTCCCGCACTATATCCATAGCTGGGTAGATAATGTCTGACATGTCAATACCTACAAGAATATTAAAGGTACACATTGCCCATAATTAGAATGACAAATACAGTAAAACCTGTCTAAAACGAACACCTCTGTGGCCAGTGTTTGGATTAGCAGGTGTTCCCGTTTCAAGATTTTATAAACATGCATGTCAATGGGAGCAAAAATGTTCACAATAGGAGGTGTTCGGATTAGAGAGGTGTTCAGATATACAGGTTTCACTGCGATTGAGATTTTATTGTCATTAAACATTTTTAGTCATTACAGGGCATTTGTATCTTGTTTTTATATACAAAATCATTTTTTATAAGCTATATATACTCTTGGTATGTTTAAAACTTTACAATTGAACACAGAAGACAGCCCCAGGCACTTTAAAAAAGTGTGATACATAAACATGGTTCCTGTTTCCGCCAACTTGAACATTACCCTTCACCTTAAGAGCATGGTACTTACCTATAACTTTACTTGCACCAGCTTTGGCTGCAAACATAGACAAGATACCCGTTCCACACCCAATGTCCAACACAACCTTGCCCTTAAATAACTCCTTATTGGCATAGATGAAATCTCTATAACTCTCAGTTCGAATGCGATCCTAGAAACAAAATATCCAGTGTTCAAGCTTTTTAACATACATGTATATTTCCTTGGTGATATGATTATTTTCAGCTTTGTTATTTTATTCAAGCATTTATTCCTTGGCTAATGGTCAATTTGATTGATTGGGACTCAAATTAAATATCATCTTTTTACCTATTTAAAGTTACCATTCAGCTAACACTTAAACCTGAATAAAAGACCAACTTATATCATCATCACTGAAAATTCCTTTGAGCATCCGAGCCTTGTGGTATTATAAAATGTACCTGAAGCATTTCTTGGTGTATACCAAAATGACTGTAGCCATCTACGTATGATCCATCATCGCCATCTTTGAGGTGCCGCACTGCATCATGGGTAGCTGGTGATTCATTGGATGATTTTGATGTAAGGAAGCCATTTGCTACAGATCTGGAAAGTTTGAACAATAACAAAACAGTTTTTATCATGGCAATAAATTTGCCAATATTACTTAGAAATGAAAATTTACAAGATTTGCTTTTAATTCCTTTTTTCTGTAAAATACCCATTACATTGTTGATGATTTGAAATAAATAAATACATGTTTTGCATATATTGTAAGAAAATACTCAAACACCCATTACTAATATTTCTTTGGGATATACCAATGAAATTCTCACTTCTTTGGGTAGAGTTGTAGACACTAGTTACTTGTAGGAAATTCAAAGATATTCATCATACAATAACTGTATCATTTCAATATTGTACTTACTTAATCGTACTAAGATCTTTCATTGTAGATTCTAGTTGATCCTGTGCCAATTTGGCCTTGGAATCAGCCTCTCTTAACCGACCAATCAGAGCATTGTATTCTGACCTTGACAATGTGATGTCATCATAATCACAGTGACCATTAGCTGTCTTGATGTCTGATGACATGGCCATATTTCCAGAGTCTATGGTCATTGCTTCAAGATCTATTTCATCTTCAATATCTGTAAGAGTTAAAAGGTAGAAGCAGACCTTTTTAAATGTGAATACTGTTTATATTATTTTTTGTATTTTATTTCAGTTTTTGCATTTTAAAAAACTGTAGGAACGATTGTATGGGAACGAGTATTAAAAAATGAACAAGACTGACTTACCAAGCTGAAGCATAAGGTCCTCGGGATCTGTAGGGGACATATATTCATCACTATCCCAGCATGCCTTGCCAGATACACTAGCGACCTCTTCTGGTGATGGATGCTAAAATTTTATCATTTTATCATAAGTTAATACAAGTTAGACAATGTAAGTTCCAATGAATAAGGTTTACAGTATTAATTTACGCAAAACAAATATAATCAAAAATTGGAATCTGTTAACAATTTTGTTCTTGGTCTTGAGTGCACAATAATGACATGGTGATGGTAGATTTAGCTTTTATTAGTACAATTGTATACATCCTTGTTATCAATGATATCTGACACTTAAGTCATTTCATAACATTTGTATGTACTTTTTAAGTTTACCCATTGTGCTTTTGCATTAATTAGTCAGCTACAAAGTATCTTCATTGAAGCTCTATGATTAAAACATTGTACATCAATTGCTTACCATTTTCCTGATATAATTCACCATTTTGATATAGCCAAAACAATCAAGTCCATGAATTCTCTGTATATGCGCTATGTCAAACTTGTGCTTACCATTTTCCTGATATAATTCACCATTTTGATATAGCCAAAACAATCAAGGCCATGAATTCTCTGTATATGCGCAATGTCAAACTTGTGGTCTTTCTTACAATGACTCAGCACATTTTCTGGCGTATCTAACATTTGACTACAGAAGAGACATCTTGTGGGAGGTTGTGAATCTGGCTGTTCCTCCTCGCAGGGTTCCCATTCCTCTTCATTTCCATCACTGTCTGAACTCATAGGATCATCTACAACCCCTGCATGGAGAAACATTGTCTCATGGTTATGTTATTGAATATAGGGGGGGGGGGGCTGTGAGATGAGCTTCATGCTAATATGTTGGGGGTTGGAAGGAGATTGATGTTTGAGAAACAATCTTACAAAGGTCCAGTGGAAAAACTTAAAGATGCCATTTCTTTGTTCTGGGCTATACTGATCAAAAACCATTAATAAATAATAAAATATTGTCTTAACTTTTTATATACAATTCTCATCCATTTACAATGCTTCAAGTTTTATACGATCCTTGGATTGTGAACTCCCCATGAAACGTATTTTGATACATGACAGGCCCGTAGCCAGGATTTGCCAAGGGGGGGTTCAGTTTTCAAAAATTTCCAGAGGGCCCAAATATGGCTAAAATGACTTGAGAAGTGCTCAAAATGGTGAAAAACTGCATGATTTTGAAAGAATTTTTGGCCCTGCAAACCCCCCCTGGCTACGGGCCTGCATGACAACTATAAATTGGATATTTCAATATCATTTTCCCATCTATCTCCCCTGTATTCTTTCCCCAAACTTGGCTTGTACCTTAAACAGGCCAATTAGAAGTGAATAAATCCTAATTATCATAGATATGAATTATAATCCATGGATTTGAATGGCAAGGATTATAAATGGATCTTCAAAACAGAATTGTGATTGATTATAAAATAACCTGCATTTAGGTTTTGGATTTGGTTAAGAACTAATTCTAGAATCCGTTAACTTCCTTGAAATATTTGAACAGCATGCATTATTTCTGCAAAAATTCATCATTTTCATGTAAAACAAAAATCACAAACTGAGGTGCATGTTGAGTTTATTACAGTGAATACAATATAACAGTTTACACTTTACATGACATAATAAATAAAATATTGTTTATATCCACACAATCCAGAGTAGCCTGGTGAAGGTAAATCTATACAATAAAGGCTACCTCTGAAGAACTTCTCATAACAGATGAGGTCTCATACCCCCATTAGGGTCAAAATGATGATGATATGACAGATATCCTTAGGGGAAAACAAGGCATTAACATGCAAAATGTCACAACCTACCATTTGTTACACATGCCATTATTTATGACGAATCCTGAACACAGTCCACAAAAAAGTTGAAGACAATCATTCATTATGTCACTACTTGTGGTTGTGACATAATAAAGACTGGGAGAAGAAGCTGTTAATGGAAAGTTAATTATTCCACCTCTTTGTTGACTATTTCTCTTTTGCTTCTTCAAAAATATAGACAATATTCCAAACAGTTTTCCAAGTTAAATTTGAGGAAACATAACATTTTTTGTATAGATTCGATATAATTTGAACACAATACAAATATTGTTATACCTATGTCTAAATGTAATTTTAATCTTATTCAAGTGTCTACTTTACATTCTGGTTACCCTGTATTTTCTTAAGTCTTTATTTTCTTAAGGCCTATAAATATTCTGATATTGAAGTCTTGGCCCAAGTCTTTGGACTCCCCCCACAACTACTATTTAGTGGCGTAAGGTTTTTCTTCTTTAGTTCAGATTAATGCATTAAAACTGCCAAAGTTAAAGATTGGTGACAGTTTTTTACACAAAATATACAATGAAAAATATGATAAACAAAAAGTGAGTCACACTGGAGCTAAAAGCAATAATACTCACACCGCTGTTTTTTGCAATTTTCTCAGTGAGCAGGTATTTTGATAAAATACTCAAAAATGAAATAAAAAAAGTTTGAGTTTTAACCCCGCCCCCTACCGATGGGACCAATGTTTGAATTTGCTAATTTATGATATTGCACTTAAAGGCTTTATCCAGGAGAAGAGGAAATAATGAAATAAACTGTTTAGAGAGACAAGACTGTGGGATTTTTGACAAAAAGCATTTAACAGACAAAATGATTGGTAATGGATTAGAAGTAGAAACAGTTGTAAAATTCCTCATAATAGGAACTTTTGGTAAAAAAAGAAGTTACTCACTAATTTGCCTTTTCCTAATAAAACAGCGCTTATTCTATTACAGTTTATGAAGGAGTGAGAAACTGCAGTCAATATAATTTGTTTGTAAGGATTGTTTTTATACCCTTATTGTCACTATATCTTTACAACTTTATCAATATCTGTACCACTTTTTCTGAACTTCTATTATATCTTGACTGGCATTGTATCTTAGAACTGCCATTAAGTCTAAAATACCATTATATTTGAACTTTGACTATAACCAGACAGTCATTATATCTGGACTGCCACTTTATTCAAAAGGGAACTATTTAGGTATTCTTTATATCCACGATGCAACGGAATGTCTATTTTTACACCTCTTGATCGCAGCTTTCCGAGACTAGATTCTGTGATGTCACGGCATTCCTTCACCATGACATATTTCAGTTTTTTGGAATATTCCGCCAATTCCATGATCCCATCGTTGCTGACTCTCCAACAGCCTTGCATGTTCACAATGCTTAATCCTGGGCACATATGTGCCATTTTCTTCACTGCATTATCAGTAAGACCATATATTCTGGCTAACGAGATAAAAGTCAGTTTTCCGCACATCATAACGATCATTTGAACGTCTTCATCGCTCAAATTCCAGCATCCTTTTATATCCAGTTTTGTTAGGTTCGGGCAATTCATAGCTATAGCGTTCAACCCACTAGTTGTAATCCAGCAGCAGTCACGTAAGTATAATTGTTCTAAGTTTCTGCACGAGTTTCCGATACGAATCAATGAGGCATTTGTGATACAGGTACATGACGTTAAGTCTATTGTGAGCAATCGAGAGTTATTCATTATAACAGCAACAAGGACTGAATCTGTGAGCCAATCTTTCGTATTTTTTAAAATAAGCTTCCTCAATGAGCTGTTGCCTTTAGTTACGAGCTCGAATGCCCTTTTATTGAACTTTAAGTCTTTCGATAAATCCAATGTGCGCATATTAATTAAAAAACCATCCACCATTTCTAAATAGTCACGACTTGTTGTTCTTAACTTGAAAATTGAACTCATCCGTAGTCGGGGTAAAATGTGCCGAAAAACCACATCTTCCCATGGCAAATCAATGAGACTACTTTGGATATGTTGATCATCATTTGATTTTAAACATGAAATTTTTTCACAGATTTTATCGTACTGTCCAAGTCCATGAAGATCGTCATCATATTTTCCATCTACTTTTTTCGATTTTGATTCAGTTTCAGAAATATTATTAGAGACTATTGATGCCTGACCCTGTGTCACATCTGCAAGACATAAACCCAAGAATTAATGTTATGCATTTTAATCGAAAATAAAGCCTCAAGTCCACACCGGAATAGCCTGACAATGGTAAAGTCAGATACCGTTGCCACAAATGGCGGACATAACCGTCGCTTCAACTGTTTAATCACTTGTTCCTCATTTCATAGATTTTATCGTCGCAAATTCTGTACGTGTATTAAACTCTTTTGATGATGTTTCATATGAAATCCCAATTTCGATCAAATTGGGTCATGAATCGCCACAATATAGCGTCTTCGATATCGACAATAACAACGGGATATCTGAATATGAATAGTTTAGAATGACAACAGCATATGGTAATTACAGTGTCCGTTGTCCCGTATCTCATTTTGATCGGTTAAATTAAAGACTTTATTGCGATGGTAGAACATTATTAACTGTACAAAGAATGAAAGAGTATAAAGACACTTTGATTGTTTTTCCAAAGGAATTTTAAAGTCTAGGTGCTCTATTAAACAAACAGTTCATGAAAATCTAATTGAAGCGACAGTTATGTCCGCCATTTGTGACAACGGTATCTGACTTTACCGTTGTCAGGCTATTCCGGTATGAAATCTCTGTTCCCCTTCCTCGCTTCTTTAAGCAGAATGTGTCTATGTTATGAGGGGAAGGGGGCACTAGAGCTTGCAAATAATTTTTAACAACAACATCAATGCCTACATTTATGTTTCACAGATGTTCAAGCTGTCTTAATTCAGGTCCTCACAGGACTGCACATTGACACCCTGTATCACAGTCTACTTAAGTGTTTCATTAGGTCCTTTGTAACATGTTCATTTTTCTGGCTTGAGAGATGATCACATGGTTTAAAACATAATGTACGCATGAAGGATTGAACCTTTAAATGCCACGTTAAGACTGATGATTCAAAGTTTTATAAGATCTTTTTCATTCAGCTCATCTTTATTTCAATAAACCAGAAGTAAATTTTCAAGTTGATAACTGATCATTTCGAGGTGATATCTTTTTATGAAGTGGGAAGTCAAAACAATTTTTTAATGAAATTATAGTAATCATTCGAAGATTATCAAGAAGCATTTAAAATCAAGTCCAAAGCAGAGTTTGAAATAAAGTGAATCAGTTATGCAAAGATATCAGTGACACACTTCCAGTTTTATGACAGATTTAAATCTTGATTCTATTGAATGTTATTTATTTGACGGATAACTGCTACATATAGATCTACATATAAATCAAAAAATAGGTAGTGTAAAGAATCAAACTGCAATATTACAGTAATCAAATTATAAACCATAGACCAATAAATTTCTGTTTAAACCGCCATTTTGATTTCTAACTAGAAAATGACAACTACGGTATAAAGACAAGTCATGATCGACACAGAAGCAGATGATAACTTACAGACTTTCGAAAATGGAGTATGGAGATGTAGGGAACATTTGAAGGTATGAGGTAAGCAGCTGAATTCAGTATTCAGTTTCAGCTGTTACAATCACTATACTCTGCGAACAAAGGCTATCCCACAGTGAGCACCATCAATCTTCATTATTCAGTTATAAAACTGAAGGTGCGGTTACTCTTTTGACTTCCGGTTTGGACTCCCGTTTTTGTTTGGTCATAATCACTGAGTTTGTGTACATTTCACCTTATTTTTTAACTTCAGTTGAGTCTCAATACTCTTAGCATTATTTTGATACTCAAAATATGGTCAGAATCACTTGCAAATCGCAGATATTTAACCACAAACTTCTTATTTTTTTAGGCCAAAACTCCACTCATGGACATGACCTCATATCTATTTATAGATCGCCGAGAAATGTTAGAGAAAAATTTTCTGACAAGTTACAAAAATATGAACGTTGAATAAACATAAAATATCACTGATCAAATGGCATGAGAAAAAAATTATTTAGAATTTTCTTTTTTTTTTAAGTTACCAGACTTCATTATGTTATGTTAGATATTAAAGATAGATGGTGCTGACTATGGGCTATCCTATCATTTTACATGTACATGTATGAAACATGTTTGCCAGAATGGAAACTGTACTGGTATACCGACACCTAATTGAGATGACAGGCACTGGTACATTTATGATAGTAAGCTGAAGTTTGGTTTTATTCTTGTGACCCTTTGACAAAAGTAATACCATCATCATAGGCCAAGGGAAAAGTAATAGTAAGCTGTATATAGAAGAGACAGGTAAACAATTAGGATTGAAAATTTTTTCAAAAACTTGCCGTCTTGGTACGAGTTCTCCTTACTGGTATCGAGTCGTACCACCAAATCTCCCAAGAATCTTCTCCAAAGTGTTTTCGAAACGTATATTGTTGAATATTTCAAATCTATATCCTAACTCTTCGATAAGACTGCATAAAAAAACACCAACTGTACGAACCTGCAATTGCCCGGCAAGTTGAAACTTCCGGATACATGGAAAGATTGAATCTTGTAACGATTGATTTGATTGGTTGTAATTAGAAGTTTAAAATTCCAAGAAAAATGTTAATTTCACCATTTAAATTGGGTTTTAAAAGATATTATATGAAACAGATGTTTTGATAAATAATTATTAAGTACACCTTTTATAGTTTTGTACACTTTAATTGATTGTTATTTCTAGAATATGAATTACATTTTAGACAACCAGATAGGTGTCACTGGCGGCGGTTATCAGGAACCAATCAAATTCCTTGTTTCAAACTTCCATTTACACGGAAATCCGGGTAACTTGCCAGACAATTGTAGGTTTTCAGAATATCTCGCCTCAAGACGGCTTTATTCACTCTATATCACTTTGAATTGGGTTGATTCATAGGTAAGAATTGCGAACTATCAATTTTGGATCAACTCTGCATTTTTTTTGAAAATTATACACAAATAATGTTAAAATCGCCATGTTAACAAGTGGCCTAAATCCTAGTTGTTCACCTGTCTCTTCTATATACGGCTTACTTTACCCTTGGCCTATGACCATCATCAAACCATGTGTTTTTATTTTTAGATAATTTTTTTTAGAAATGAAATGAAAATGAAGAAATGAACAACTTATCCCACGCAAATACTTATCAAAATAGATAAGGTACAATCTGAGTATATCCTCAAATGAATTATATCTAAATAAGATCATTTGAAACGTTACAAAAGCATCAAAATAAATTAAAGGTATCCCTTACCAATTGCTGCCATTTTCTAATTATTACAGTTCGGCAAACGAGATGACCTTCACCTTTGACCTTAAAATGTCAACAACAAGATGGCATCAATGTTGCACCAGAATTTTGTGAAATATACATATTTACTGCCTGAAAATATCAATAATCTGATATGGAATCTGGGGATGAATACTCATAGTACAACTTACAAAACCATATGGAGAAAATGAACAGGTGGGCTACCTATAATTTATCAGAAATGATTGCATAATTTATTTCTGTAGCCTAGTCTACTGATAGATTGAAAGTGAAACTGAAATGTAGATCTTGTGGAGGAGTACTGTTTCTGTGTAGTCTGCTATATTGAATTCAGTGCAGTTCTGAATACATTGTTATCTTGAATTCACGATCACATCCACATGCACATTCTTGTGCGTTGCGTTACTTTTATGAGAAGTAGGCCACCACGGGAACACGAGTTGAACGAATCAAAAAACGAGTGTTCAGGGGGATCTGGTGAGTTCTCCCCCAGAAGATTTTGAAATTTGGTTGTAAACGGAGCGTATTTGCAACCATCTGGTACACAGGCATACCAGGCGTATCGGGCGCTACGCCCATGGTAGTTGTGCATTCATTTTTTTGGGCATGAGGTACACAGTTGTTCATAAAATAGGAGGAGACAATGACACATGTTTTATTCATATATATTTTGATTTTTTCAATTTTATTTTCAGGTTCCAAGATCAGGCCTGTTCCCTGGAGATGCCATCACGAAGAATAGTATGGCCTCAATGCACGCAGGGAAGGACATTTTCTCCTGGTGTATTGGGCCCCAATAAAGTGAACAATCGCTTCATGACCTGGGATGAAATCATTAAAAAGTCTTCCACAGTCACAACAGTTACTTACAAAACATTTCTTCCACCAGAACTCAAAGACACCAGAATCATTGGTCAGCCTGTTTGCATTGGTTGCCATGGAAACATCTTTATTTTCCAGTATTTCTATTTACTTACCAATCAAAAGAAGACAATCAAATCCTTCCGATTGAACTTTTTATTCATAGATGCTGATAAGGAAGTTTCGCATTGTTTTACTGATCATCAGTATCTCCAGCCGTCAACTTTGAAAAACGAGCCATTGTATTGTTTAATCAGTCCAGGTCTCCATTTTGTGCTGTTCCGTTTACCCTATAATGTCTTGAAGGCAAATAAATGGGCATCTGTGCAGATTTCTCAAATACATAAAGATGGCGACACTTACACAATAGATGACATGGTCAATGCGCACATTTCATATCGGGACAGACGTACACAAGAAGTGATTTTCCATCCTAAGTATGAAAACCGTGTGGTCATTATTACACCTGATTATTATGCAACATCGGCAAACATTCAAATATTTGAACATGAAATATATGAAGGAGTCCTCAAGAAAAACCCACTGAATGCTATAGAGGAGCACTCTATTCGTTTAATTGATGATAGAAACCTCGGAATTTTAGAATGCGCATCACAGCTTATGGAAGCACAACCAGATGTAATTCAAAGGGAAAATAGAACTCAAAGACTCACATCTACATTTTCAAAATCAGGAAATTTTCTGATTGTGTCAATGCAGGTTCTTTTAACAGAACGAACATACCACCATGAGAAAACTCTCCGGCAACTACACACTTTTTTCATTGATTCTGAAAATTACACCCTTGCAAAATGGCATAAAATAAACCTTGAGAGCCCTCTATCACCACAAAATGGTTTCATCTGTACGCAGAATGATTCAAATCTTGAAATATACCTGACGGACTCGAGCTCTTCACAGATACGATCAACATTGTCCGTGAAACTTCCTGTACGAATCTCTCTTATGGAATCATGTAGGGCTAGTATATTAAAACAAGTTCATCCCACTGACGTGCCAAACCTCAACTTGCCAACAAAACTTGTGCGTTATTTGCAGTTTGATGATGGATTGTGCTCCCATTGTCAGGACCAGGCAAAAAGTCACCGTTTAATCACATTTTCAGAGTTGATAAAAAGTCAAAGTGAAGCATAATGTGTGGATTGTGATATTTTACCTCCTGATTTCTTGGCTTATTTTGGTTTTGTAACTGGATCATTGATTAATACTGTGTTTATGGGAGAATATCTATCAAGATAATAGATACAAGGCATTAACATGCGAGATGCCACTACCTGCCATTTACAGACACTGAACGCCAACTGCTCTATACCATTCACAAAAGTTGAAGATCGTAACAATATGTCAACACTTGTGGTGGTAACATAATAAGCAGGTTGTGGTCGTAAGGTTAGGATAATGTTCAGTGAGTTTACTTCAGAACAGTGGACTATTTCAGCATCTATAGGAAAAAAATAACATGACATTAACAATTTTCACCAGGTACGTTGTAACTAAGCCCATACAAAACAGGATACTCCAACCCAAATAATATTGTCTTTAATTGACTGCTGGTATGGCTAAAGGTATGATTGATGATATCTTGTGTATGTTCTAAAGTTCCTGTAAGTTTCTTTAATCATCACTGTCTGACACTCACAATTTCACACAACTTAAGTTGATTTGTGCCAAATTGCATACTGTAGAATGAGTGTTGCCAGCAGTTTTAATGAGTTGCATTTTGGAGTAACCCTAAGAAATTCAAGGTAGCCTACTCAATAGATCCTTTTCACTTTTGGGAAATTAAATTCTTGAGGGCCTTATTGGGTATAACAAACCAAAAGTGGTTTAAACTTTATATGGGGCCTTCAATCTTGTTAATGGTCCAGTCTTATTTGCAGTAATAAAAGCTGATGTAGAAATCAAATCGCAAGTAATGAATGTTGTGTTATCTCGAACATTCCTTTAGCACCATCAGTATCAAACAAATGTACTTGTCATGTATATGTAAACTATAATGTAGGTTATCTCAAGTGACATGTAGTTGACTTGCTAAGACATTTTTATGTAGCCTTGCCTATCTAATAAGGTAACTCAAATCTTGGCAATGGATTTTGAAAATCTGGTTACCTCTTTTAGTCTGTACATGTACTTTGAATAAGCTACTGACAAAACAGAAATAACACAATAACAATCTGATTCATGGTGTGCAATTTTCAGGATTTATTTAAATTCATTTTGGATTCTGATTTTAACAGCACCTGATATAAGCTCCCTCTGTCCATTCTCTTGGAAGTATATTAAATATAACAATTAAACCTGTGAATCAAACTCCTAAATTGGCAATTAATTAATCTTGGGAGACGACCCTGTACTGCAGAATCATTTTAAGACCTGTTGTACAGATACCACTGCTCAGACAGGTTTTACTGTGGGTACCACAGGCCTTAGTAATAATAATAACTAGAAATGATTTCATCAATAGGAAATTACCTGGACAGAGGGTCGTAATGTTCTTCCTATAAAAATATGTCATAGCGGTTGTCCAGTTCCTCTCTGTTCTAGAATAAGAAATTGTGATATCCTTTCAAAGGTTCACATTTTTTAATTCCAATACACAAATAAAGTACTTTTTTTAATATATTGGCATTTTGCAATAAATGTCCTACTTTTTGCAGGAATAATTCTGACTGCAGCTTAAAAATTCGAAACATGCAAAATTGCAACCATCATGACATTATTTTATAGGTTGACACCTGAAATCTTCATTCATTTGAGATCAATGTGATTGACAGATTCTAGCACTGAGTCAATGTCGACTTTTAAATTGGTGTTTGAAGTTTCCAAAGCAGGTTTACCAATACCATGCACCTCCAATGGATTCTCACTCCAGAAAATAAGAGAATGTGACACTACGTGTAATGCTAGATGGTTGAACACCTCCTTTGGCAATGACAATTGTAGATTACAATAATCTATAGAATTAAGTTACTGTCCAGCATTTTTTCTAAAAATGAGACTCCAGTCAAATTCTGCATGTCCTAAACCAAAAAAGTCGACATTGAGCAACAGTTAGGCGAACCGAAAGCAAAATGTTCATTATAATTTCATTTCATTCATTTATTGCACATGAAAGTAGATACCAGGGCTTTAAATGTTAACATTTGATTGTTCTGTTGTTTTTTATCAGAAGAGGAGCTATTATTCTTTAGCCCCAGTTCTCTTATATCCATCTCTTCCCATTTAACACGATTGGACAGGTCTCTTTTTCTTAAATAATGTGCACTTAAATAATTTTCTCTAGCATTATATTAAGAATTGTTCATTTAGGACACATTCAAGATGTCTCAATCAATGGCACATATTGAACATTGCCTAACTTTTAAATGAATTTTCGGGTTCGTGACCCCAAGAAAAAAGGGACCTGTCAAATAGTGATTACAGCCAAAGGAATAATATTGAGCACTAATGTCACACACATCATTTAAAAATATTTCAATTTTTTTTGCGAACAAGACACATACAAATATCTGAGATTTTACCACCATGAACGTCCTGAATCTTCGCATATCAAAAAATAATATATAAATTTAAAAGGCTGAAATCAAAGTATAATTTCTAAATAAGGATTTCAAAATTCAAATTCATTCACTGTCAAATTGAACTAAATACAACTGTCAAAACAAAATCATTCATATATTACAAAATAAGTATCCATGCTAAAATATTATATACTTTTAGGACACTTTATATTGTTTTTTTTATTATTTTATAATGCAAGCATTTTTATTATAAGTTGCCACTGAAGACGTTACGATACAAGGTGTCTCAGACATTTTTCATATTTCCTTGCTTAATTTTGAGACACCATGTATCTTAATACAATAATTTCAATGTGGCCCATATATTAAATATGACAGTGTATAAATCTACGATGTTCAATATTCAGCCGCTCTTGGTGCATTTGAGCATAAGTATAGTATACAGGGACCTTAACTGATTATTTACTCATACAAACATTTTGATGGAAATATGTTTCTAAAATCCACAATTAAGAAATTGAAGTTTTGTTTTCATACAATGAATCACATTTTCTCTACTAATGCCCTTATCACATAAAACAATTGAAATATTATGCCAACATGCAAATTCACAGAAAGGCATGTTTTGGCCTTAAGCACTGTTAACCAACATTCCATACCAACAGCTAAAATGTCATGATTGTCAATTTTTTAAATATAACCAATGAGCCTAAACCAGAATAAGTTTTTCAAAAGTATATACTAAATCAGGCAGTTCATTCAAATTTTAGAGAGAAATGGCATGGAATAGCATGACAATCGTGGCATTATAGCATCGGTAGTTGAATGGGAATCGTTTCCCATAGTATACACAATTTATTGAAATCTTTACACCTCTTCTTCGAATTTACAAATTCATTATGAACAAAATGCTTGGCTTAATTTGAAAAGTTTTACAACCATACTGGTTATCATTTGCCTAACTGTGTGACATTATCTTGCACACGCAAATAGTTCAGATTTGTGGCATAGCACATGGTCATAAAAATCTTCAAATGAATTGACAAATAACTTGCCAATGTGCCTTGTTGTCAAAAGCACAGACTAAATTAATCTGATCCATTTTTATCGGCCAAACAACTTATTATAAAATTGAAATTAATTTCATTTTATTCCAAATAATATTTTTTCCATATAAATATCTAGGCATGAATGAATCAAAATAATTTAATTTGCACATAAAAAATTACTGCATCAACTCTTCTGTTCCTTTGTTTTTAGCGAACAGATTAAATAAAACATAAATACTTTTTTTCGATGGTTTTCTTGTACAATTGTGTACGATTTTTCATGTTTTTTTGTATTTTTTTTCTTTGGAATGGAATATTATTTTTTCATTTTCTTTGTATGAGACTTTTAACTTAATTCAATTCATTACAATGGTAGGGTTGTACAATAAATTACTTTAAAGACTGTATTTAAGAAGTTTTAAAGTAATTTATAATCCAGGATTCAGTTCAGTTTACTGAACATATTTCAACTTTTTTTAACCTTTTTAAACTTTTTTTTTCAATTTGAATCCTTGTACCCAACTCCTTTCAAATCCATACTCAATCTCTTTATCCCTATCATCTCATACAGGTGCGCCATAAGCATTGGATTACTATAGACTAGCTCATAATTTCAACATGTATGAGAAGATAATGACATGTCCACAATCTTATTTTGACGATTAGTTCCGAATTCTGTATGACGCCCCCGCCCCAATTACTTCCCCCAACATTAGTTTCATATCCTGAATGGGTAGAATCAAAAGAATCCCCCTTCAGTTCAACATTTAACATTGAGATTCCCATTGATTGTGTCGGTAACTTGAAAACACAAAGTTAATTCCCATTGGTTAAGCTTCTGGGGGAACGTGGTTTAAATCCCTTTGTTCCATCGGGTCCTTTCGGTTGACGGATAACGGTGACGCGTGGAGCAGAATCATCGGACATACTCTTTAGCCTACTCATGAGTCTCTCAGGCCTTTGCTTGTTGCTGGAAATCATAAATTAGCACATGATTAAATAAATTAACAAGCAGAACTCTTAGAAAAGCAAATCTTACTGAACTAGAAAAACAGCAACTCCACGAAGTAGCAAATCCCACCGAACAAAACATATTATGCTTATTATAGCTAGTGTAAATGTTGAAATGCTTGTGCACTTTGTGATAGAAGCATGAAATTTGGCACAAAGTTAGCTTATACCATTGTGAACTAGGCATCATCATATAAAATTTGAACCAAATCCGTTCACTGGTATATGAGTTATCAAAGATTACGTTTTTTACGAATATGGGCCGCTATCTTGAAAATTATTTCTTGAACAGAGCTACTGTGTCCCTAGGCATAATCATATAAAATTTCAACCAAATCTGTACACTGGTATTTGAGTTATCAAAGATTACGTTTTTTACGAAAAATTGCCGCCATTTTGAAATTAAGCGGACATCTTGAAAATGTTTTGTCGAACATAGCTATCGTGTCCCTAAGCATCATCATATAAAATTTGAACCAAATCCGTTCACTGGTATTTGAGTTATCAAAGATTACATATTTTTACGAAAAATGGCCGCCATTTTGAAATTAAGCAGCCATCTTGAAAATCTCTTTTTGTCCCTAGGCATCAGCATATAAAATTTGAACTAAATCCGTCAACTTGTATTTGAGTTATCAACGATTACATTTTTTACAAATATGGCGGCCATTTTGAATTGAGTGGCCATATTGAAAATTCCTTCTCGAGCAGAGGTCCTACACTCATAAGGCATAAGCCTATAAAATTTGAACCAAATCCGTCAACTGGTATTGGAGTTATCACCCGGACACACGGACGGACGAACGGACGGCTTCTCTATATCCCCCTCGAACTTCGTTCGGTGGGATAACAAAACATACTTTATCAAATCAATGTAATTTTGAACATTACATGAAAGAATAACTAGGTAGAATGTATCATATCCCTTTGGCAAAATCTACACACATGATGCAACATGACAGCATTTAATCAATTCCTTCATGCGTCAGAGCAAAATTATACCTTATTTTTCTGAGGCTAACTGCGGAATATTTGCCATTACGCTGATTCTGCACAACAACAAACTCCACTTCGTCACCAGTTTGTATCTCATTATCATCATGGACCTCAGACATGTGGAAGAAAAGTCGTTTTCCCCCTTCAGCCTCGTATGTAAGGAATCCATACTGGAAAATACATTCAAGTTAAGAATATATACTGGAAATTTATTTCAATTTATCTGGAAAATAATGATGAAATCCATGATGGAAAATTATATATTACACACACTAAAAACTTAATTCAATTAATGAATCCATACCAGAAAAAGATCAATTACATTTACAGTTCTTCAAGATTTACCTGTCACATTTTTGTGCTTTATTTTGATCTTGTTGATTTAAGCACATTATATCTGTTTCTCCTTTGAATTACACATGCTCTGAAACAAAACTTACTTGTCCCTTAATAGAGTCCACTTTAGCTCTTATAAACTTTCGAATGGCAGCAATGTTTGTTGCACGTTTTTGATTGGTTGCCTTGACTATAGCAATCTGGAAGCGCACTTTATCGCCTGTTTGGAGGAAATCTTTCTTATCTGCTAGACTAGTGATACCATAAGGTAAAAGCACTGCAAAAAAGAACAAAAATAAATTTTGGAATATATCATCAAGTATTCTAAATCCTGGATCTCTTCTGATAGACGAAAAAAATTTACTTAAGTTCAATTTACATCTTTTAAAGCTTTATTACATTTTTTCTGAATTTCAACATTTCAAGATTTATAGACAACACTTACTATCACCGGCCTGCACCAGGCCAGGGTATTCATCCTGATCAGGATTGATGATCCTCATGCATCTAACAATCTTGCCCTCCATGGTGCCATGTTGCAGCTCCTGGAATATTATATGAAGGTAATTTGACAGTTATTCTCATTTTACATTAAAGTTACAAAGTGTACTGTGGAGATTGAATCTGTCATATATAAAACAGTGTAAATAAATCGATTTTACAATATTTTTTGTTCACAGTATTTCATGTTGTGCCTATTTTTCTAAAAATTCCTGAATGGTCAAGAGGCAAATATTGATGAATACTAATCAGCTCTCGACCAATCAGAGTACATAATTCCAATTACATGTATGATAAATATTCATACCTCTGGGGCAACTGTGCCTTTTGGCAGTTTCTTGATACTTTCAGCACTGACTTTGGCAGTTTTCTTGGCAAGTGTGTACTCAACTTCATCTCCAAGGTCAAGGTCATTGCATTCTCCTTCGAAAGCACTGCAACATTAAACAAGAAATCAAAATCACAATATATCACCATCTGGCAAATTTTTGCAAATTGATTCAAAAAATGTAACAATTTGTTACTAATGCTGACTGTAAAACACCAACACTGAATACCCTTCACAAAATAATAATATATCACATATTTAAAATAGGAATTTAACACGCAAAATGTCACCACCTTCTATTTGTTACAGATGATTGTTACAGACACAGATGCAGAACACCATCAGCCGTCTACAAAAAAGTTGGGAGACTGTAATAATATGTCACTACTTCTGGTGGTGACAAAACTTCAATAGTAATGAAAGTTCTTACCTAAAGTGAAAAAAGACCTCTTTGTCATGGGCAGCCGTTTCAATAAATCCGAAATTATCCTTCAGAGTGGCGATGAATCCACGTTGGACGCCACCCGAGTTACGACTTAGCACCTTAATGTTAACAGCAGTTTTTGTGTTGTTACGTTTTACTTCTTGAATTTGGAATTCGACCTTGAAATGAAAATAACATTGATTAGAACATTTATATGATTCCACTCTTTTTTTCCATTTTCTATTCTACAATTTTGAATTTAACCTTCAAATGAAAAGAAGAATCTTTAAACAATCATATTGCTATCATTATTATGTGAAGTAACAAGATAAGTGAAAACTCCAAATGTGACTTACCCGATCTCCATATTTGGGTATATTGCGTATGTCCGTTACGTCCTTTGTCTGGTAGGTGATGGAGTGCTTAACCCCTTTGATCTCACAGCTAATTGAGCCTATTTCATCCTTCCCTGTCTTTGCTGAAATATGTGAAAAAAAGACATGTGAAAAATGTGAAACAGTCTACACTGTCTACACCATCTGTCTTCACTCAGTCATATGAAACAATGTGTGAAAATGTGAGCAAAACCTTCATTCGGACAATTTATTGAATTTATGGACAATTCACCAAATATTTTGTACTAGTCAATGAACTCAATGTAAAATAAAATACAGTTCATGAAAATGTGAATACCTGGGCTTCTGTGTCCATTGGGCTCCTTCTCAACAGTACCAATAAACTTATCCTTCCCAACAGTCTGGAAGGTGACAGCACCTTTAGGCAACAGCTTCATGCGTAGTGCTATCTGTCGGTTAGCGCTTGTGGGGTCCTAAAAAGGAATACCATAATTTGAGGATACACATAATAATTCACCACTCACAAATGAACTTTGATAAAGGTCATTCAATGTTAAAGATGGGCTGAGTAGGAATAAGGGATATTATTTTAACACCTGCTGTCCTCTTGGTGTATTTCAATAACATATCAAGTTCTAAAATTTAACTTTCACAGGTGAAATATCATACCTGCACTACAGTAAATTCCACTTCATCTTGGACAGCTGGTGGCTTCTTGGTGTTTAACATCTCACTAAAGTGGAAGAACATCCTGGCATCTCTATCAGCGCACTTGATGAACCCATAGCCATCCTTAACAGCGGCCACAACTCCCTGTAATAACACACAAAATGTTCATCTGCTCATATTTATTCCTCATTAATTTATACTAGCACAAATTTGAAGTCATGAATTTAATTGGGGGGATGTTTGGTTCAAGTGTCTTCCTTGTGAATTGTATATTTTACCAATATAATTTTCATTACTTCTGTGACACATTAGTCAGTTTAAGTGTGTTACAAATTAAGACAATTCAAAATTATTATCTAGGAAATCATAATTTCTAAGGGTCAAGTTAGACTGATCAAGTCCAGTCATTGCATTTTGCTTGATTACATCGGATTTTCAAAAGAAGAAACTTCAACCATAAACATATCAATAAATGTTCAATTTCCATTTTAGGGAGGGAGGGTGTTAATCAGAAATTTGTTTCTCTTACAGTTTCTCTCTCCTCATTTTGAACAGTGAAGCTTTCTTCAAGCAGATCAATGTTGGTTGCTCTCTGTAGTTTGTCCCTCCTGTCAGTAGCAATGTTAAATGCTACAATATCTCCAGGTTGAAGTGTATAGTCACCAGTTTGATCCTTGTCCCCATATGGGATCTCTGTTTGTCTAAAATAGGAAAGTCTTCAATGAATGCCATTTAAAATCGATGTAATTGATAAACAAGGGAAAACTCTTCATGAAAACCTATTACAATTCACAATTAATTCACACTTGATCGGACATATTAGTTAACATGTAAGTGGATTTTTTATTGCGTACTATTGTAATTAGATATAATACACTACTTATCTTGTTTATGAAGTGTAATTATGAAGTTAATATGAGCCTGGACCTTTTTTATTGCGTACTATTGTAATTAGATGCAATACACAACTTATCTTGTTTATGAAGTGTCGTTATGAAGTAAATATGGGCCTGGACTTTTTTATTGCGTACTACTGTATTCTGATGTAATTCACTAATAATGATCTTGTTTAGGCAGTTCAATGAACATAAAGGTACAGTTTAATTTACTTTAACATGGCTCATAATACTACAGCTACTAGTATACAATTTATAAAGTCATCTATTTCATTTATTCATTATAGCAATTTAAAGTCATGTTTAGCAAGCATTTTCAAAAAATGTTGCAGATGGCCATTCATATGCTGAATATAACTTACTGATTTTTAGACTCATATACAATTCTTCCTGGGAAAGTTTCGCTGGTTCTACGTCCCTGGCTACTTTTTAATGTTTTCTGGATTTTCCCTTTCAACCTCTCAACACTGATATCTTCAAATATAACAGTCCCTTCTGGCAATGGCTTAATCTCAACTGCAACCTCCTTGCCCTGAAAATGTATCAATTTCAATTTGCAATTTTAGTATCAGTATGCAAAATTTGCGAGACATTTTATCAGGCAGGCTATGACTTCTTAATGTATTCCAAGTTCTAAACAAACATGTACAATTCCATGGATGAACCAAAATTTTACGATAACATATGCCATATACTGTAAAAGTCAAATTTGTTACAGACCCTGGTGGTTGCTAAATAACATGTCCCCGACTTCTTTGTGGTGACTTTGTGTTAACACCTAAAAACTATAGTGTAATAAAGGTGCTTACATTTCTGCATTGTATTTTAAACTCCACATCATCCCCAAGACTCAGGTTGTTTATATCTTCCTTGTATTCACTGTAGTGGAAAAATATCTCCTTGACGGCATCTGCACGTTCAATGAACCCGAATTTGTCCTTCATGGAGCAGACAACGCCCTCTAGTGTTTCAACAGGAGGTGGGGCAGCACTCTGGACTTTTCTGGCCCGAATGGTTCCATTTCTAAAACATAATATTAGAGGCTTATAAGTTTCCAATTGTCTTCTAAATGATAGAAATATTTATCCTATACTGAATAGTGTTATTGGTAAATAAAAATACTGGAATATAATTGATATTTTCAGGTGAGTGAGAGATATATATATCCTACTCTGTTAAATTATCTACCCTTGGTCCAAACACTCCCTGAGGTAGATATATTGCATTTTCCTGAGGATATACTTCATATCCGAAACCCCCATTTAAATAACCGTCATATTTTGCATTTTGGATACACATCATATACACAAATCGCAAACATGATGCTTTGAACAATAATGTATCTTTCCTTATCTAATCTTTCCTTCCTATACTAAACAAGTGTTACAGGCTCACCTTTTATCAGTGGAGACAAACATTGTGCACTCATCTCCTGGTTTGATCTTACATCCATCCTCCAGGTCCTCTATACCATAGGGCAAGAAGAATGTCTCTCCACTTTGTTCATAACTCACTCGGCCCATACCATCAGAGAGACCATTTGGTAGCTAAATATAACAAGACCTTTTTTGTAATTCATGGCGCTAATAGTGACCATTTGGTAGCTAAACATAACAAAATACCTTTTTTGTAATTCATGGCGCAAATAGTGACCATTTGGTAGCTAAATATAACAAGACCTTTTTTGTAATTCATGGCGCAAATAGTGACCAATGTCATCAGAAAGACCATTTGGTAGCTAAACATAACAAGAGACTTTTTGTAATTAATGGGGGAAATAGTGACCAATGTCATCAGAGAGACCATTTGGTAGCTAAATATAACAAGAGACTTTTTGTAATTAATGGGGGAAATAGTGACCAATGTCATCAGAGAGACCATTTGGTAGCTAAACATAACAATAGACCTTTTTTGTAATTCATGGCGCAAATAGTGACCAATGTCATCAGAGAGACCATTTGGTAGCTAAACATAACAAAAGACCTTTTTTGTAATTCATGGCGCAAATAGTGACCAATGTCATCAGAGAGACCATTTGGTAGCTAAACATAACAAAAGACCTTTTTTGTTAATTCATGGCGCAAATAGTGATCAATGTCATCAGAGACCATTTGGTAGCTAAACATAACAAATGACCTTTTTTGTAATTCATGGCGCAAATAGTGACCAATGTCATCAGAGAGACCATTTGGTAGCTAAACATAACAAAAGACCTTTTTTTGTAATTCATGGCGCAAATAGTGACCAATGTCATCAGAGAGACCATTTGGTAGCTAAACATAACAATAGACCTTTTTAGTAATTCATGTTGCAAATAGTGACCAATGTCATCAGAGACCATTTGGTAGCTAAACATAACAAAAGACCTTTTTTTGTAATTCATGGCGCAAATAGTGATCAATGTCATCAGAGACCATTTGGTAGCTAAACATAACAAATGACCTTTTTTGTAATTCATGGCACAAATAGTGACCAATGTCATCAGAGAGACCATTTGGTAGCTAAATATAACAATAGACCTTTTTTGTAATTCATGGCACAAATAGTGACCAATGTCATCAGAGAGACCATTTGGTAGCTAAACATTACAAAAGACCTTTTTTGTAATTCATAGCGTAAATAGTGACCAATGTCATCAGGGAGACCATTTGGTAGCTAAACATAACAATAGACCTTTTTTGCAATTCATGGCGCAAATAGTGACCAATGTCATCAGAGAGACCATTTGGTAGCTAAACATAACAAAAGACTTTTTTTGTACTTCATGGCGCAAATAGTGACCAATGTCATCAGAGAGACCATTTGGTAGCTAAACATAACAAGACCATTTGGTAGCTAAATATAACCAAAGAAAAATAGATCTGTAGATTTATATATGACAAGTCAACAATTAATACAGATAAGAAAGTTAAAAAATGAACTTGAGATTTCCCAAAAGCTTTACACTACAAAAACTGAACTGTAGTATGTGAACTGTAGATGGGCAATTTTCAAGAGGAAACACTAATTTTTAGTACCTTATTTCCTTGTCTAGCTTCAGACAAGATTGTTCCTTTGACACGTTCGTCACTAAGTATCTCGACTGTGACATCACTTCCCTCCATCTTGACTACGGAGATCGCGATAGGTTTCCCTGTCCTTCTGTCATATGACATCTGGAACTCTACTGGATCTAGAAATACACTCCCCGAATTAATTATAGTAAGGTCCCTACAATTTAATTGTCTGTATAGAGGAACTATTCTTGAAAAAGGCCGTAGTTTGAGTGACTGAAGCTTCTTTCTTGTAATACCTTTCTTAATAACTTTTGAATAATGCAAAACGCAATACGCAAACCACACACAGGATGGGTTTTTGACAGTACTTCCTTCCCACAGTAGACACAATGCATATCTACAGTAATAGGAATTTGGCCTCTATCTGATCAGCAGTAATTACTATCAGGGTTGGGAAACTGTCTCAAAATGTGCCCCCTATGTTGGAATTTCCGGCATTGGGGGCCTCACCCAAACTCTTGAATTGTGCATAATATGATTGTGATCACATTTCTGAGTTATGAGGAAAATATCACAATTTTCCTAAGGATAAACCTTATATCCCAAACCACATAACCCCAATATAAAATCCTGACTGAATAAAAAAACATAAATAAATGTTGTTCCATCCATTCATTACTGTTTTACATTATTACATTTATAGATAGAAAATAATAATAAAAAGAAATACCTCCAACATTAGTAGTATCTAGGTCACCAGCAAATTCTGTGAAGTGAAAGAAAAGTCTCGCTTCACGATCACAGCACTGGATGAAACCATAGGAATGCTGAAACAAATGGAAATATGGACAATTGGAGCCGATGTTATAAATGAGGATCATCCAAAAAGTTTTGAACCTTTTTGAATTTTGATTCTTTTAATATATGTATTCATATCATAATGACGACAGAAAGTTTTCAGATAGAAAATAAATTTAGAATCGTTATCAGTGGACTTACCAGAAGTTTTTCTACGATTCCTGTTTCACGAATTCCAGTATTTCCACCACCAGGAGGCTGGATGATAGGACTGGTAGAGACCCCTGGTGAGCGTTGGAATGACAAGATGGCTGGATCGGCGACTGGCGGTTGGAAATTCTAAAATCAAAAAAATCATTTCAGTAAAAATGTTGAGAATCATATAGAGTAAAATGTAAGTGGAACACCTTTGAAACATATAAATAATGTTCCACTTACAGAGGTTTCTTTTACATTAGTAAATAGGTAAGTGAAAAATGTTCCACTTATGGAGGTGTTCTACTTAAAGCGATGTCCCATCTTTCAGGTCTTACAAAGATGAAAATGTTGGTCACTCACTAAAATAACTAATTAATGAACACAAAAATCAATCCCTTGCCCCCCCCCCTTAAAATCTAATAAACCTCCTTTACCTTCCACTGAGGACTTGCAGCCATGCTGACTATGTTTTTTGTTCTTTTTTCAGAATTGCAGCAGTTTTTTTCTTTGTGGTCACGTTGGTTTTGATTTCACAGTGTGTTTTACGTCCCTGATCCCCAGATGAGCAGTGTGAGCTGAAAGTTCTTGCCTTCGGGCTTGAAGAGTTCCACTTTTGAGCAGAGGGCGAATCTGCTTCTTTTTCTTCCTTTGAGCTTGGTTAGAGTTGTAACTTGACTTGTGAATAGGTTCTGGTTTATTTTGTAGATTTTGTGGAGTTTGCGTTTTTGGTACAGTTTTTCTTGGTTCAGTTTGAGTTCTGTTTGCTGGAAAACATAACATAAAAAAATTAATAAAAACATTTTATATATAAAATGTTATTTTTACTTTTAAAGGTCTCATAAAAATTGATACAATAAAGTATAAATAACCAATATAGACAATATATCTTAAAAGTGAAGGAGATATTACAGTTATATATGAAGTAAAAAGGTACTAATATGACAAAAGTCACCACCTAGAAAAATGTAATACAGTAAAACCTGTTTAAGTAGAAAACCTTTGGTATCTAAAAAGCGTTCCACCTGTGAGGTGTTCTACTTATAGAGGTTCAATCAATATTAAGTTGGTCTTAGGACTCTGAGAAGTGTTCCACTAACAGAGGTGTTCAACTTTACAAGTTTTTACAGTAAAGTGTTTCAGATACAGAATACTGGTCACATAAATGGTGATATATACAGGGTGGGCCAAAAAAATACTCCAAAGATGTTGATGGAGTAGTTATGTTGAGAAGGTGATTTGAACTCCTAAAATTGCAGAATATTCATGTTCTCTCCTCACAGACAAAATTACTTACTTATAGTAAAATGTATATGAGGTCAGGAGAAAATATACGCTTATCCCCTCAAGGAAACTTTTTACAAAAAACAACTAGAAAAAATGTTCAAGTTTGAACACTGATGACAGTATTCAGCAAATAAATAAACAAGACATGCAGTTATAAATATTGCACTTTTTAAAGAAAAAAATTAAGTAATATAGCAAGCATGTCCAAAACCTAATGAGATCTTGGCACCAATGAACACACACATATCTATCCTAAAAAAACGACAACAATAGCACTTTAAAAAACTGCAAAAAATTGAAAATAAAAACCAAACCTTTTCTCTTTCTTCCCCAAGATGATCAGTACGCAAACAAATAACCAACATGTTATATACACCTGAGAAGTAACAACAAAAAATATTACTTTAATTAGATCCAATTTCCTAAATTTTGTCTCATTATTAATCCAGGGGCTTTCAGTTTCTTAAGTAATAAAAATCGTTTGATTGTGTATATGTACGTCATCACACTTTCGTATTTTACAATTTCTAATTCACACATATTTTACTCAACAATTAACCTGACAGTATTTATCACACTAAGGCCAATATGGGAGAATGGCCTTCCTTATAATCCAAGGCTATCATATGTAAGCATGGCTAAAAAAATTATTTGAATGATGGTCAATTATACTTCAAAATATTTGAAACAAGACTAAAGGTGAACAATGCGGAAAAATCGGTAAATAAATATAATTTTGAAATGAACCAATACAACAGTTTGGCTGAAAATACACCAGACTTTCAAACAAGATTTTAGTTTGGAAAATCCAAAAATTACTACCATGAAATTAACATAGCAACCCCAAAAATTAATAATTAGTTTTTCATCCATGAAAATTTGAAGTGAATAGATGTAATGAAATGGCTGATGGGGCGTAGAAAAGACCTACACATGTTTTGTGGACAGAAAAATCCAAAATCGCTGATAAAATCTCTGTCACCCAGCAAACTTATCAAAGTACATATAGCACCCTAAGGTACATTAAGAACCACACATCTTTGAAAGGTAAAACAACAACACAAAATCTAGGGCTCAAGATAATCAACAATAATATCTTCAGCAAAATAAAGATATTATGAAGATAATACTCAATAATAATATAATAATGATATATATATTCATCCCTTTGCATATTATAACAACAATTATATAATAAAAATCGATATATGCAATGTCTGACAATTATATTAATATAATAACAGTAACTAGAGCTGGCATCATATTGGTTTTTGATATGGATATGGTATTTTTCCGAAGTATGTTAAGAACAAATAATCCAGCCCCAAGGTTTCAATACTCAAGTAGTTGAAAATCAACCCCACATTTATGGGGGTAGGGAGATCACTACCCATGGAATTTCTTGATGAGGCCTAAACAACCCCCCCCCCCCCCCTCCAAGCATTAACAGGATTTAAATAGCTATAATTTTATCTAACAATTAAAAATGCCTTAAATGAAGAATTTAAGGATGCAACAAAATTCTGAACAGCTCGGCATCATAATACTTACAATAAAACTTGAGCACTGTTAAGAACAGCTGTATAAATATTTTACAGATCAAAACAATATGCAGGAATTTCTAGTTCAAGTATGTTATCAGGTAAATATTTAGTTGCTCATCCAGCCTTCTTTGCTGCTTGTATATACTGTATACAACACCAAGAATTTTAATCTTCTATATAGACTTGCTATTTCTCTTCTGATGATTGTTATGTTGTTCTTCTGTTAATCCTTTATAACCCCTCTCCCATAAGTACAGGTCGTTATTTCAATCTTGCCTCAAAATGGAGTTCATACATTTGAGATGTTGTCTTACAAAGCATTTGTCTTTCCTCACTAAATAGAAACACGGCATTAACATGAAAATGTCACCACCTGCCATTTGTTAGACACTAACCACCAAACACAAACCACCAAATGATATCTACAAAAACAAAAAATTGAATACTATATAACACATGACATGTCACCACTTTTGATGATGACAAAAAAAATCTTGGATTGATACTGACCTTACACATCTTCTCAATCACCATTAATGTAACGTGGATGTTTTAAACTTGAAATGAAAGATAGAAATTGACATAATTATCATTTATTCAAACAACAAAAACACTGTGATTGAAACCATACAATACAAAAATGTGTAATTAAAACCAATTTAGATTTAAAGCATCAAGAAAACTGACACTTGCTTGATTGTGTCTGGCCTTTCCAACACGATCCACCTGTATCTAATTTCTACATTCAAAGTGCCAATTTCCAGGTTGGTTATGTAATTCTACGCTTTAGGCAAAGCAATGTCAACAATTGTGTAAGTTACATAGACTTGAAGCAGGAACTTAAGACTCCATGAACTGTAATTCCAGGTTTCAAAGTGGCTGATCATATTGAGAGAGGAGGGGGTTAGAATGAAGAGTAAATTCTTCAAAATTTTGGATAAATCATAGTACGAGTTATTACACCTGAATGTTGAAAAGAATAAACATGACAAGGAATGATTTTGAAAAAGTAAGTATCACTCGGGATCACCGATTCTACTAAATTCTCATAAAGATCTATTGGTGTTTGACGAAGTACTCAACTGATAAAAAGGAAAGCTGTTTCAGCTATTCAACTGTAAAGCAAGGCTATCAGAGTTCAAAAGTTGATACACCAAAGAGTACTGATCTCTCACTACGCAATACACCTGGCCCCATGCCAGATTCCACATCTTACAGTACACATTAGTAATCTACCCTTTGGGAGAATTTCATCTCAAACTTAAGATAAACTTTTAGACTCCCCTGGCCAACCAGAATTGACCAATGCCAAGCCATGATTTTTTCTTATACATAGTATATAATATTATATGCCGATTAAATCCAAGTATCCATGGTGGATTATGATTGGTTAAATATTCATTATAAAATGAATGATGTCAGTCAGAGGAAAATATAGTAGTCTGGACTATAAAACTCAGGGTAAAGCTATTTTGTTTATATTTTACACAAACCTAAAATACAGATGTTCTTTTTATACAGGTTTTGCCAGAACATAATTTTATGACTCAAAATCAATAAAGAGCCAACCAAACACTAGAGCTCTGAACCAACATTAGATTATTTGTTTGACCAGAATCATAGACTAGCTACAAGCCCCTGTGACCCCCTCCTCCCAATACTTGATAACACAGGTATGAAAAGTTCTCATTAATACAGGTTGTAAAGTAGATAAATGGGAGGTCCAGGGTCTTGAAGCAAGACTACTAGAACCAATAAGACCAAATGAATGCCTGACGTACAGTATTACAACACCCTCTACCTCAAACCAATCAAATTCTTGAATTGGTAGGTGTGGTTAAAGCATTTTAATGGAGCTCATACTCAAAATGAATACAAAGTAACTGAATCTGTTTACTAGGAACTATATTCAGTTAGTGAGGCATCATTTCAACAATGACTGATTTAGAGCTGTGATTTTTCAACGAAGGCACTGAACCATTTGACGCATTTTTCTTCATTACCAGCCAGCTAACACCTCCAGTAATTCTCCAAATGAGCCATTCTGATTACGCATTTCCTTTCTTACAATGGGCAAGTGAACCCAGTTGAGGAGAATGACATGATAAGCGAGTGTGTAATGTAACTGAGCAATTAATTAAGACGTCACCTAATCAAGGCATCATGTTCAGGCAACCAATTTGTAATTATACTTAAATATGACGATATAACAATATAAGCACTAAATTTCAGACAAGATAAATAGATGACCTACCAATATATTTCTTACGATCTCAAATATACCACCTAGACCAAAAAATCTATTGGTGAAATTGTTAAAGTTTCTAAGTGCAAATTTGGGGCAAAAAGTATAATTTCTCCTAAATAATGCAAAATATCACCACCTGCCATTGGTTAAAGATACTGACCGCCGAACTTCAATCGCCATCTTTAATAATAATGTTCATAACTATAACAATATGTCACCACCTGCTATTTGTTAGATACCAAATGCTGAACACCAACAAAAAAGTTGGAGATACTACAACAATATATACATGTACATTTGGTGGTGACATATATGAGGCTTACATAGATAGACATTTACATGTAATTTTACCTTCAAAAGAGAATCTAAAGAAAGCATTGATGATTGTTTAAGGAAATCCTTAAGTATGAAATGATAGGAGAGTACAAGATACTGTACATAGTTTGGAAGATAATACTGACTTAACTGAATCAGTTGCACTGCATTCTCATGGTCAGTATGCCCTCAGACAAATACCTCTCAATGCCTGGTATTTTACATTCAAAAAAGAAAATATCCTCACTCTGCTGATTTACCCATACGGTTAGGGATTCAACTCAAAAGGAATACTAAAAAAAATACTCAGGAATTTATTAAGGTATGCTATTGGCCATATAGAAAAGGAAACCCCATAAAAATTCTTCAGTATC